ATCTAAACGTTCTCGAGTCACTGCCTGGTTGAAAATTGTATGTTACTACCGAATATGAGTACTGAAGCAGTTTTTCTGAAACCACGTGCACCATTCAAACTGGCTGCCTTCAACGTTCGCACACTTATGCAGGTCGGACAACAGATAGGGCTGGCAATGTCTTTGGAAAGTCTTAATATTGATGTGTGTTGTCTATCCGAGACCCGTATTCAAGACTCTGGTGAAGTACTACAAGTTCGCTCTCCATCTGTCACTTCAAAAAGCTTGTTTTACGTGCGTTTATCCGGGGAGCCTGTGGCATCTTCGTCTGGTCTTGCTGGCGTTGGTGTCGCACTAAGCGCTAGAGCTGAGGCAGCACTAGTCAACTGAATCCCCATTAACAGTCGGTTATGTGCTGTTAGATTAGAAAGTTCCATCAAAGTGAGAAGAAATCGGCGTGAGAAACGATGTCTTTTCGTCATCTCCGCCTATGCCCCGACAGATTACAGCCCGGATGCAATCAAGGATGAGTTCTACCGTCAGCTAACTGTTCTTCTCCAGAAAGTGCGTTCGACAGATATTGTAGTACTAGCTGGAGACTTGAATGCTCAGGTCGGGCGTCTAGGCACAGAAGAGAGTCGTTTAGGTTGCCGATGGGGACTCGTTGGTCGCAGGACAGATAACGGGGAACGTCTACTGCAACTATGCACAGACCACAACCTGTTTCTGGTTAGCACTAACTTTCGGCACAGTCATCGCCGATGTGCCACCTGGCATCCCCCTTCTGCATCTCAAGCCTGGACCCAGATTGATCACATCGCGATCAGCTACCGCTGGCGTGGTTGTGTACAAGACTGCCGCTCCTTCTGGAGTACCTATCTGGAATCTGATCATGCTCTGGTCTGCGCCAATCTTACCTTACTTTTCAGTGGACAACTAAGTGACCGCCACCACAGGATTGATGTTAGCAAGCTGGCTGCAACTTCTGTTGCTAGTAAGTATCGAACCGAGCTAGCTTCTAAGCTAGCTAGCATTCCACCGAAAAGTATAGATGAGCATTGGTTGCAATTGCATGACGCCATGAAAATGGCGGGTACAGTCTGTTGTGGGTTTGCGAAACGTCCCGCTTACAAGCACTGGGTTTCTTCTGGTTCCTTACAACTGATTGAAGCCCGTCGGTCTACTCCGGGTGACCGTGAGTTTGACCACAGACGAAGGTTGTTACGTAATGAAATCGGGCAAAGCTTGCGTAAGGACCGAGAAACCTGGTGGTCGGAGCGTGCCAGTGAGTTGGAAGCAGCAGCTGCATCTGGTAATTACCGGAAGCTCTTCCAACTCATCCGAGCCACTGGCAGCAAGAAGTCTGGTGTGAGCGAAACAATCTGCGAGGATGACGGAACGCCAATCACTAACATCCATCGACGTCTTGGACGATGGGCAGAATTCTTTGAAGGGCAGTTCAACTGGCCTGCTGCTCCGGCAACATCGGTCAGACTGTCCTGCCCTCCATGGCCGGTGACGACTGATCCACCAAATGAGGCGGAAGTCCGCAAGGAACTCCAACACTTGAAACGTTACAAATCACCGGGCCCAGACGACTTACCTCCGGCTCTTTTTAAAGATGGTGGTGACTTTCTGACGACGTTGTATACAAAGATCTGGGAACTAGAGAGTGTACCAACGTCATGGAATGAGTCGATAGTTGTCCCTATCTTTAAAAAGGGTTCACGTTGTTCCTGTAACAACTATCGGGGGATAAGTCTACTTCCGATTGCGTCCATGCTATTGGCTTCCGTCATACTTCGTAGGTTGTTCAGAACCCGAGAAGGATTGACTCGCGAGGAGCAGGCTGGGTTTCGTTCTGGTCGAGGATGTATTGATCATATCTTCACCCTCCGCCAAGTGTTAGAACACCGCCATACTTATCAAAGGCCAACAATCGTAGTGTTTCTTGATATCAAGGCTGCTTTCGATTCGTTGGACAGAACTGTTCTCTGGGATTGTCTATTGAAGAGGGTGTGCCTGAGAAGTTTATTAACATCCTAAAAGCCTTATATACAAACACCTCAGGTAGAGTGAGGGCATACAACCACCTTTCTCCACTATTCCATTCAAGCAGTGGAGTTAGGCAGGGTTGCCCAATCTCACCATTCCTCTTCAACTTTGCCATCGATGACATTCTGGAAACAGCTCTGACGGATGTAAGTAATGGTGGTGTGGATCTGTTGCCTGGAGAAAGACTTCTCGACCTTGAGTATGCGGATGATATTGTCTTACTGTGCGAGAATGCCCAAGCCATGCAATCCGCACTTAATCAGTTGGCAATCAGTGTCCGTCGGTATGGTATGTGCTTTGCACCTTTGAAGTGCAAAGTTCTTCTACAAGACTGGCAGGATTCTAATCCTGTACTCACTCTGGATGGTGAGCAGATTGAAGTAGTCGAGAAGTTCGTGTATCTAGGTAGCTGCATAAGTGCTGGTGGTGGTGTGAGTGATGAGATCAATGCACGTATAGTGAAAGCCAGAGCGGCTTATGCCAATCTGGGCCATCTTTGGCGCCTTCGTGATGTTAGTCTGGCTGTAAAAGGTCGGATCTACAACGCGACGGTGAGAGCAGTTTTGCTCTATGCTTGTGAAACCTGGCCTCTCCGAGTTGAAGATGTTAGACGACTCTCTGTGTTCGATCATCGTTGTCTCCCAAGGATTGCTGGCATCCAGTGGCAACACCATGTCAGTAATGCAGAGGTTCGGCATAGAGTGTTCGGTCACAGAGACGATAATGAAATTGGTGTCATCATCTTGAAACACCGACTTCGGTGGCTTGGACATGTTTTACGAATGTCGTCCCAGAGAATTCCACGTCGTGCATTATTTGCCGACTCTGGGACTGGTTGGAAAAAGCGGAGAGGTGGTCAGTATATGACATGGTGTCGTGGTATGAAAGAAAGCTGCAAAGGGCTAGCTTCTGTTGGTCCTTCACGACTCCCTGGTTGGGGTCCGAGAGACGGTGTAACGCAGTGGCTAGAGACATTATTAGATATGGCTCAGAATAGAAGCCAGTGGCGATCCTGCTGTAACCTTCTTTTACTTTCTTCATAAAACGTGGTTGTATCTTCCTTAACTGAAAGATCTCTTCTGACTGTACCTTTCCATTTCCCCCACCATTGTTCTGTCTCTCTCCCTTTTTTTTTATAATTCCCCACGTTCATTACTTTTTTTTTTCTCTTTTCTCCTCTTCAAATTATCATTGTTTTGTGTGGCGCATATATATTTGGTGCCCCCCTTGTACCAATATTTATGTGTTCAAATAAATAATAAATAAATGTTTTCTGCCAACCCGGAATTGTCAAACTGTTTATGTTGCTTGTTAGCATATAAGCAGCAAGAATTTTACGTTTTTAAGCAAACGTATGTTTTTGGAAGCTCCAGTAACATCTGTCGTCTAGTTTGGGTTTTTTTGCCCGACCGTAGCTGCTACCTTGACGTGGTGGTCGGGCTTGCCTATCGTGATGACCCAACCGAGCTATATTGGCTGGAACATATGTTCCTGCAGGTTCTACCATGCCAGACAGGTCGATTGGAGAACGGTAAGACTAAAAGCAGCAACTCAAGATCTGAGGGCGAAGTCGTACTGCTGACTGTACAGAGGTGTGACAGCAGCAAAGTGTTTCCCTCGGACAACCAGCATCTGCAGCGATGCTGCCTTCTCACAAGGAAGGAAGGGGTTAGAAAAGGTCGACTCTAAAAATGTCACACCTCACTTTACCCCACGGATTTCCGTCTGCGGCGGTAAGGCCCTTTGAAGAACGGGGCTAACACATTAAACATGTCCCACAAAAAGGCCGTGCGCGACCGGCCTCAAGCAGTTGTCGCTTGGTCTCTGTGGTCACGCTCCCAGGTCGTTAAGACCAACGCTAATCCGATTTCCTTTTCAGGTTCCTCAAGAAATACACTTCCACGGTGTGGGCAGTCGGGAAGTGACATCAGCCCTCATACCCGTAACAACACACGAGACGAAGTTGGTTACATTCAAATCCTTCCTACACCTCCTAATAACTCTCTTATCTCCACGACTAACCCTTCTTACGTCCCTTTATCCCCTTGCCCCACTAGTGCAAACGATTTGAGTACGCGGAACGTTATTCCTGGTCTCCTGAAACCACGCTCCAAACTACACGTAGGAGCTTTCAACGTCCGAACACTGTGCCAAATAGGACAACAGGTTTCCTTAGCTAAGACTTTAAAATCTCGCTCCATCGATGTGTGCTGCGTCTCCGAAACGCGCACATAGGATCCTAGTAGTGTCATTCATTTTCTTTCCAAATCTATTCCACTGCATTATACTCCTCAATTAACATTAAACCCTAATGTTCCCTATCACTACTTATACTTTTAGTACCTCTACCACTACGGGATTTGAATCGATAACTGAATCTCTGTGCTACTGTGTTATGGCAACTCGAACTGATGTACGTACGTACGAAGTTCTACGTTGTTACTGACTGACCGACTTGGGTTTTTGCAAAAGTGGCAAGTTATTTCGCGAAATATATTTGTTTCTCATCACACTGTCAGCAACGATGATGTTTTATAATCTACTGAAGTATGTACATTGAATTACTTAACTGACTGGATTAATAAACTACTTGTTTACTCATATCATAAATGTGAACAAATCGGCTATTGATTCTTGATTATAATGCGTAAAACTGTGTAATATTGACTACTTTGGTTTGTCAACTCTTCGTGTTCTCATATCTGTTCATTTTATTTTTAGTAGATCAAGATTGAAATCGAAGTGTGACATTTTAAATGCCCTTAGTTACAAGAAGTATGTAAGTGATTATTGAAAATATACAATGGAACTGGTGGAATAGCCATCTGGGGATTGTAATGTGCGAATCCTGTAGGCTTAGAATTAACATCTGTTTTTCAGTACTGTTAAAACTAAGACCAATTGGGTACGTATATGTCTTTGAAGTAAAATTAATGGAATTTTTTTTTACTCCTTAATGTCCTCAGATATTTGATCTAATATCTTATCCTTGTGAACAAGTACCGAAAGAAGATACAGATCTAAATGCGATTACCAATGACTTAGTAGAAGCACTTTATGATGGTCCACTAACTATTGATCCTTTGGATGTAGAAGCGAATGAATTAATTCAACTACTTAGTTCTCCAGTATGGCGTAGCTTTTCTACTGCATACACTGAAATAACAACCAGTCACTTTGATATTCCTGAATTACCTGAGATAGCGTTCATGACGTCGGGCCTGGGTGGTACTAATACAAATCTAGGAAGTTTTCTAGCCAGCAAATCATCTAACTTACATGTGGCTGACAGAAGTTTTGGAGATGGTATTATTAAAGATAATCGAAATGGAATTCCCAATGAACTGTATAATTCACAACCAATTATGTACGGTGCTGGTAGTGAAAAAGTGTATACTGACTTGAGAAAAAATGAAGCTACTCTTACTGGAGGTGGCGATGGTCCAGCATTACCACCTGTAGATGGTGCAGTAAAAATGATCGGGATTCAAAAGAATCATGGTGAAGATTTGGTGAGTTGCTTTTTTATTTAATGGGTTATGAGATGTCGCGTATATGTGATAAATATACAGTCAGTCCGGATATATAGTTCGAAAGCTTGCAGTTAATGAAAATGAAGATGTTTTGAAAATCTAGAGTAATGTTAGAATTTCAGAAAGTTTAGAACAAAAATCAGCCAATAGACTAGTGCAGCCGGCAACATTTAGAGATTATATTAGAATGGAGTTCCATGCTAGTTGAAATAAGTAAATTGAATGTCGGTTGATGTATGATGCGTATTGAGACTACATGACAGATTGATGACTATCTATTACACCAAATTATTGAAGTTTTATTTGAACATATAAACATTGGTACAAACAATCACCAAAATACATATGCGCCACACAGTAACAATGAAGCTGTCAAGAGATCGAGAATGTAGAGTGCATATAATAAATTACAAACAACGACGAGCAGAAATTAGTGTATTGGAGTGAAATAATAATAACAATAGTGACTATTGAGAGAAACAGTTCAGTTAGCAAAAATATAACCAGAAAGAATTCTTTCAGTTAAAGAAGTTATGTTCACTTCTATGAATAAACTAGAAAAAAGTTACGGCAGGATCGTCACTGGCTTTTATGCTGACCCATGTCTAATAACGTTTCTAGCCACTGTGTCACACTATTTCTAGGACCGCAACCAGGTGGTTGTGAAGGACCAACAGAATCCAGTCCTGTACATCTTTCATACGACGACACCAAATAGTGCACGACGTGAGATTCTCTGGGATGAAATTCTCAGAACATGTCCGAGCCACCGAAGTCTATGTTCCTCGAGAGCTAATCTTTCTTGGGATTTGAACAACCTACGAAGTATGACAGAAGCCAATAGTCTGGACACCATCGGAAGTAGACTCATCCCTGACAGTTGTTGCATAAGTGACGTGAACTCTCTTTAAACACAAGGAAAACTATCTACTCATTCCACGATGTTGAAACACTATAAGTGCTAGATTTTTGTAATCTACTCAGTTTCTAAATCAGGTTGCCACCATCTTTAAAAGTGCCGGGTGTAAGTCGTCTGGGTCTGGCGATTTGTGGCGCTTGAAGAGTGAGTTTCTTTGAGGACTTCCGCCTCGTTAAGTGGGTCAGTTGTCACAGGACATGGAGAGCAAGATAGTCTGATTGATGTCTACGGGACAGCAGACCAGGTAAACTGCTGCACGAGAAACTCTGCCCATCGTAGAGTAGGACTTCACTGACAGTGGCGGTATACGTGTGACCATGTGAGAGCATTGTGAGAGGGAGAGCGGCCTCTCCTCGCCCTCCACCATACTAGGCCATTTGGAGACGTTATACTGTGACTAAATCGGTATTGAAAAACAGGACAACTAGCAAGCAAAGTTATTATTTTGTAGTCAAATAGCATATTTATGTGAAAAATACCGAACACCAAAGTACTTACTTACTTACTTACACCTGTTACTCCCAATGGAGCATAGGCCGCTGACCAGCATTCTCCAACCCACTCTGTCCTGGGCCTTCTTTTCTAGTTCCATCCAATTCTGGTTCATTTTTCTCATGTCTATCTCCAATTCCCTGCGTAATGTGTTCTTTTGTCTTCCTCTCCTCCTTCGGCCTTGAGGATTCCATGTGAGGGCTTGTCTTGTGACGCAGTTCGGTGCTTTCCTCAATGTGTGTCCTATCCACTTCCAGCGCTTCTTCCTGATTTCTTCCTCCACTGGGATCTGGTTTATTCTCTCCCACAGTAGGTTGTTGCTAATAGTGTCCGGCCAGCGGATCTGAAGTATTTTGCGTAGACAACTGTTAATAAACACCTGTATCTTCTGGATAATGGATTTCGTAGTTTTCCAGGTTTCCGCCCCATACAGTAGAACTGTCTTGACATTTGTAGAACACCAAAGTACTTATGATCTAATGTTGCTCAACAAGTTAGTGTTAGGCGAATATACTTTTGTTGGCAATTTATTCACAAACGGAATCCAGAAGTAACCACCGAGCTTAATTTTTGTACACCATATTATAAATATTGTCAAATTGAGCAGTCTAAGACATTTGATTGTATATCAAAACTTGGTTTATTTGTTTAGGCAGATAACAACATGTGTTACGTACAGCTTATTCACCCCTTATATTTTCGAATTGCACATAATTTCATATATACTTTTTTGAAATTTTTCAGAAGACCCTACTGTCTATAACATGGGTTCAGATTAAGTTTTACTTTAATAAGGATACACATACTATTATTGTATGTTGTGGAAAATTTTTTTGCCTCGATGACTAAATTTTCAGAACATATATTTGCCTACCTTTAATGAAAATATTTATTCTCATCATTTATGGCATATCTATTTCCCTTTTTTTCTTTACTTTTTCCCTCATATTTCCGATTAATTTATAAAATTGAGTGGGTTTTATCAATAACTTCTCTTTTGCGATGATTAGTCGATGTTAGCGTGGGAATATGTTTCCTCCAACCTTCAAATTATTTCTATAAGAACTTCCGTTTAAATTTGAACAAATGGTATCATAGTTGTTGGGCTCCAAGTTATTGTAAGACATTAAGCAGGTAGATTATATTTACAGAAATCTCAGCGATTAAACTTTAATCAAATCCGGCGTTTCAGTTTCAGTTTGGAAAGGACAGGAGGCTTGATAGCCTGTGTTAGTCCTGGCAATTGTGTTCTCTCAGTTGATCCAACTTTCTTTTGAAAGAATCTACGGATGGAGCTTCAACCACGTGTTGAGGTAATGAATTCTACTCGTTGATGATTCAGTGGGAAAGTCGATAGTCAGCTGACAAGTAATTTGTTCTGGGCTTGTGAACTTTTTTGGAGTGCCCTTGTGAATTCTCTGTTTTGGAAGACAGGAAAAATGAGGGCATAGCAGGTGCAAATTTATCACTAAGCAATTTGAAAACTGTAATCAAGTGGCCTCTAGTTCGACGATATGACAAAGGGAATAGGTTTAGCTTGGCGAGTCGAGCATCATACGGAAGCTTCGCTATTCCGGGAATCAGCATAGTTGATGTTCTCTGGACCTTTTCCAAAAGCTCATTGTCTTTTTTTAAGCAGGGGCTAGTCGCTTGTATGCAGTACTCAAGTTTAGGACGTACGAACACTGTATACAAAGTCAAAAACGTTTGAGCGTCGACATAAGTAAAAGCCCTACGTATTGACCATAAAGTTCTAAAAGCTTTGGCGGCTATTGCACGGCAGTGTGCAGTAGTCTTCAGATCTTGGCTAACGATGACTCCTAAGTCATTATGTGTCTGGACAACAGGTAGCTCAGTGTTATTCATCGTGTATGTATCTGAACTTTGATGACCGATATGCATCACAACACACTTGGAAGTATTTATCGGCAGCTGCCATGTATGAGACCATTCGGATAATATCTTCAGGTCATTTCTGAGTTCTAAGCTATCACCCTTACATCGTATCGTTCTCCATATCTTGATATCGTCAGCATATAGCAAGACGGATGATGATAGTAAGCGAGGAAGGTCATTTACATACAAGAGGAATAGCAGTGACCCCAAAACTGTACCCTGGGGCACTCCACTAAGCACAGTTTCCCAGCTAGATAACTTTGAGTTTACCCTTACTCTTTGTTGGCACCCAACTAGGAAGTCTTCTATCTACATCAATAGATTGCCTCCAATTCCGACATTTTTTAGCTTATATAACAGCCGGTTGTGCGGAACTTTGTCAAAAGCTTTGCTAAAATCAATGTAGGCTACGTCTTCAGGTAACTTTTGGTCTTTAAGAGCGCACCAGCTTTCACGAGCAACTAATAAGTTAGTGAGACAAGAATAACCTATTCTGAAACCGTGCTGTTTCTTCGAAAGGATCCGGTTTACATCGAGGTACTTAAATAGCTCCTTCCGAATAATCTTTTCTAAGATTTTAACAACCACACTAGTTAGGCTAACTGGTCGGTAATTCTCAGGTTTATGTTTCGTACCTGTTTTGAAGACAGGACTTACTATGGCGTTCTTCCAGTCTTTTGATGAACGACCCTGCGTTACGGATAGCTTAAAACATATACTTAAAGGGTTCGCAACGAAGTTAGATAATTCCTTTAGTAGCTTAGGATGCAATTCATCGGGCCCCATGGATTTACCTATGTCAAGCTTATTTAGCAGACCAAAGACATCGAGTTCTTTAATAGTCACGCTATCCAGTGTATGTGTGTGGGGGGTTAGTATGCGCTGACGGGAAGGGTGCTTCTATGGTATATACATTGCTAAAGTAGTTTGAGAACACTTGAGCCTTACCAAAGTCATCTTCTACTCATGATGCGGCAGTACCGTCTCCCCATAGTGCAGGAATATTTCCTCTTCTTTTTGTCCTTTGGTTTATATAGGAATACAAGCGTTTAAGACATTCTATAGATTCCTTAACAATTTTTTCTTCGTACAGCTTTTTAGACTTGCGGAGGGTCGAGGCACATGCATTCCTGGCTTTTCGATACTGAGATTTTGTCTCATCAGTCCCCAGTAACCTAAATCTATCTCACATTTTTCTTCTCTTACGGAGAAAGATGCGGACCTCCCTACTGAACCATGGTGAGGAGTTTCTCGGCTCCCTTCTGGTATAGTCCAAGGGATGTGGAGTGCGGTAACTTTTAAGTATAAATTTCGGAATGCGTCCCAAGCCGTTTCAATTGAGGACTCTAGGTCTATTGTCCAATCTACTAATGATGCTGAGTGCATGATATCTGGTATGTTTGCTTTCCAGACGTTAGGTCTGGATTGAGTTGACGCGTGCTCGTGATTGACTGTTATATGGAAGTCAAAAGTTAAAACTGCGTGATCACTTTTACCTAGGGTTGGCATGTAAAGGAGGTTCGCAACGTCATCTTCATAGTGAGTTAATATAAGATCTAGTAAGGATGATTCAGTGTCCGGGTCGTACCTAATCGCTTCTTTCACATGTTGCACTAGGGCACATGTTATAACCGCATCAACTAGTTCCTGCTCGAAGGAATTATCTGACGATTCAGTTCGCAGATTTCCCCAGTCTACCACAGGTGCATTAAAGTCCCCTAGGATTAGACATCGACCACTTCGCGACCAATTTTTGAGCCTGTTTAACAAGACATCATATACCTTACAGCTTGGACTGCGATAGACCAAACCAATTAGCAGCTCTTGCCCCTTGAATTTCAAGCGGCAACTAACCAATTCACACGTCCCACTTTCATGGGATACACTGTCAATAATGACAAACGGGATAGCATTCCTAATGAATAGAGCTACTCCACCTCCTTTACGCCTATGTATTCTGTCGGTCCTTACTAAAGTAAAACCCTCAAAATCGAGTTCCGTACTATCTATAGACTATGTCAGCCAGGTTTCTGTGACTGCGATTATGTCTGGCTTTGTAGAGTCAATCTGTTCACCTAGTTCCGATCGCTTATTGAGCAAGCTTCGGGCATTAGTGTAACAGATCCGTAGCTTATTTAATTGGCTTCGTGCTTCACCCAGGGTGGCTTCGGCATCATTCTCTGACGAAGCCTCACAACCCGAAAATTTGCAATTTTCAGGTCTTTTTGCCAGCGTCTAACCTAATTTGTAGTTCTTTTTCGGCTTCCCGTCTTTTTACACGGTCTGCCAACGGCAAGTCCTTTCGGATAAAAACTCCCGAACCCTTTAATTTATGTCAATTCTGTAAAATTAAGTCCCTTTCATTCGAAGATTTGAATACTACTTTAAGCAGTCTAGATTGATTAGGCTTCAAGTTCGCTAGACTACCTAGTCTATACACCTTTAGCAAGGTGACTCCGGAGATATTTTGAGGCATGAGTTGATTAATTAGCTCAAAACGAGTTTTTGGTTCAGAGCTTTCGCTCTCCTTGATCCTATGAAAAATGACTGGTCTGTTACTGTGATCAGCCTTCGATTTTTCGACTACTTTTGTGGGGGCAGGGTTCCCTTTTATATCGTTATTTTGTTTCTTCCTTGCAACCTGTACCTATTCGTGAACGTTGCTTGGAGAAGCAACCACAGTCGCGTCAAACATATTGTGGGATTCCGGAGGGTTTTCGATGACTTGGGAGGTCAGGTTTGGTGTCCCTTTAGAAACTGATCGAGCCTTGCGGTTGCGGCTTCTATGTGTTTCTTTCTGGATACCATTTTGAAGACGTGGAACAGAAGAAACTTTTTTCCTTGAGTTTTCTGTGGGGACAGAACTCTTTGGAGACTGCTCTCCCTCCTTTGGTCGGTGCGAGTCATCTGTTTTCGAACTCACTTGAGTTTGCCTCACGCCAATTTGCGTGTCAACGGAGCGAGTACTTGTTGATGTGTCGCGACCACTCTTGCCAAAACATTTTTTAGCGGCACTAACCAATGATATGGCCTCGGTTAGCAAGCTCTTAGTATCCGAACAGCACTGCTGACAGAGCCATACGCAACCATTCCTACTGAACCGTTTGAAAGCTGCAGGCGTTAAATTTGTGCAAACTTCGTGGTACCAGTCTTTGCACTCATCGCACTGCATGCCGCTTTCAACAGGATATCGACAGCCCGGGCGTTGGCAATTGCTTTTTTTGCACTGTCCAGTAATTTAAACACGGTTTTTTTTAAAAGAACTGGATGCAAAAATACTCAGAGACAAAAATAATCTATGACCAAAAAAGTGGAAAACTGTAGATCATTAGAACCAAAAGTACTGACAACAAACTACTTTAGAAACAAAAACGATACTCTAATCGAATACTTTAACTGAAATTAACTCAATTAAAGTGAAAACAGTAGTTTTGATAGGTATAAACGATCAAAACAATAGAATTTACTCAGCGAGGAAAAATACCACTGTCCTTTTTGAATAGCGCGCGGATGTTGGCAATCTGATGCAAGCTTTTTTCAGTATCTTAAACATGTGTATCGATCATGTTAACACCAATGAAAGTAAGATTTTTTTGTACTTCATATGAAACATTTAGTGTGAATAGTTAAGAAAATTGTGTTAAGACAACAGTTGTGTGTTTATGTAAGTAGATCTGATATGAATTAAATAGTTGTATGTTATCTCTCCATAAAAGTATTTCTTTTATAACCGCTATTCTTATCTGACTAGACGTTGAAAGTTTTACTGACATTATTTTGAAGGTTTGTTGCTAAGCGAAATGAACTGATTGTCACTATTTATTACATCATCGAATAAATATGTTTATTTTCGCGAATTACCAAATAATCAGTTCTTTTCTGCCTTTTTATGAAATGCTGAAATTTTTATTTAAAAGTTCGATTTTTTTGAAATATCATATAACATATTGTTTTATTCTATGCAAAATTAAAAATTGTCACAGGGTATCACTGTTATTCAACAACAATATATGTCTGCACATTATGGTTTAGTGAAAGAATTGGTAATTAAACGAATTTTAGCTGCTTCTCATGTTGAACAGCTAGATTTGTTACACGTAGGTGATGTGATTCGTGAAGCAAACGGAGTTCCAGTTGATAATCCTGAAGTACTACAGAAAGTATTAAAAAATGCATCTGGAAACATCACATTGAAAATCATTCCTGGTTACCAATCAACTCCTATTTCTTCACAAGTAAGATTAATAAAGAACATTATATCTTTTCTTTAAAATTTCATTTTTCCATTTATCTTATAAAATGTTATCACAAAAATGTTCAATTTGTTTAGGAGAATTCAGTGGGGCTTTTTAAAATCCGATTTGACTAAACAATTCTTTAATCTATATATTATTGAATCAAGTTGTTTTAACAGAATATTACTCGATGTGTATTAGTTATAAAAGGTATTGAAATGTTATTAATTTTCTTTACATTATGTGGTCTACAAAAATTTGAAATTATTTTCAAGTTTATTTTAAATATAATAAAATCATTATAAAAATGTGGTAAAGAGGATTGCAAGGGTTTTTGAAAATTTTTAAAAACAAAAACCAATCCTGTTATTTATTTAAATGTCGAGTAAAAATATTTAAAAAATGTTCATTTAGTAGAATATTTATGACAAGTTAATCTTCACTTGATTAAATGCACTGTATTACCATGTTTATGTAAATACTTGATACGGTTGAGTGTAGCTACTTTCCTTGCTATTCGGCTAAGTCGGTAGATTGAACATTAGTAATCAGGAACAGGATATCGATCCAAATTTATCAGTGTAATTAAGCAAAGTGATAACATTATGATATGTTTTTTTTTATTTTACATGCAGTAAATCATTTTTTGTATCTTGATTTCATGTTTCTCACTATAAATTAACGAGATGGTACATATTACCGTGAAGAAGCTTGTAAACAATTTACAATTGAGACTTATTTCCGTTCACTATAATTTGTAAAATCGAGGTTAAGCTAACTCGATAACTAGCTATGATAACTCCTAAAATATAACAAAATCATTCTCAAGCTGTAAATATGTTATATCCCGACGAGAATAATGAATGGTAACTGTTTGAATCTGTTTCTACGCTAATACTATACATATATATTTATTGTATAATTATCAAGTAGCTAAACTATGCATATTCATGTTCCTCTTATTAAAAGCTTTATTTTGATTTATGAACTATTATTATACGATTTACGATTCTTGAGTTATGTCCAGTTTATCAATTACAACCTCCCACATTCACAGCCGATTTTGGCTAAATCTTGTACAAATGTTATTTCCTATTTCATGGTACGATGTGGTCGGTTTGGTTTGTATATAAACGCAGTATGTTTGAAATACATAATTCATATCGCAGGGGCTGAGATTGGTATTCTGGACATAACAGGTAGAGCTAGGCAGGAAGCATGACCGATTAGGACTCTAGACTGCTTGTACGAGTTTTTTTGTGCCATTGGTCCGATCGATAAATCACTGTTCTCTAATTGGCGGTATCATTAATATTAATAGGGCACAAAGCCACAAGTTATAACAAGATATGAAAAATCATTAATCCTTAAACTATTGAAATCATATTTAATATATTGCATTTCAAACCTTCAAGCCATTTTTACAGTAATTCATAATTTTCATATTAGTGTTGTTTCTCAACAATAAATATGTACTTGACCACTTCTTAAAATAGAAATGTATGTTATCTATTGATATTTTAAACGAGATAATCCAAGACCCTATTAGGTATTATTTAGGCTTCTAATTAACTTATTTATGATACTAACATAATAATGAAAATTACTTATGAAATTTTATCAAAAATTTTCAATCATGATTATGATCTACTTAAAAATAAGTTTGTTTTAGAAAAAAAATTATAAAAAATTTAATACATGTTATCTGTACAATCTATTCATATATATGAGAAAGTGTTTTTTTTTTTCATTTTATTGTTGTTCGGAATATTTTTGCTTTTTATTTACACTATAATTTCACGAAATCAAACAATAAAAATTTTTTTCTTGAGTGTTTTACAGTTTAGAAAAAAGAGGGGATTTTTAATTATTTCAAATTGTTCCAATTTCAAATCATCAATGTACAATGTTTTAACTTAAAGTTTCCATATTTGTGAAATATATTATAATTCAATTTATTGAATTTTTATAAGTCAGATGTTTCTTATAGTTTGGTATTGATCTGAAAATAAATTCAGTGCAATGAAATTTCAGTTCTTCTTTACAGTGTAGATAGTTATCACTTGATATATGGTAGTAAATTGAATTATATTTAAAAGACATTGTTCATTAACATTATATCATTGTGTTATATTGCATATTTTAAAATCTTCTAGGGCTTGCAGTCATTTTTTTAAACTCTTACATGTAGATATCAACTTAGATTGCATAGCATTAACACAGTATTGTGTTGTTGATTATAAATTTGGATTCAAGTTTGATTTCAGATTTGTTAATAAGTATTACAGAGTTCTTTTATGATTTAATATTACTATTAGGTTATCAATACGATATATTGTTATGAGAAATCACTTAAACGTGATTAATAGTACCTAACTAATACTTCTCAATTGGTCAGGATGGAAATTTACCATCATAACCAAGCTAAATGACAACAATGATATATATGTGTTTTATTTTTTATCCGTAAAACCAACTTTCGGTCTTGGTTTAATGTTTCTTAGCATAAATTAGGACGATGTCAGTGTCAAATTGTATAGGGTAATTAATAGTCCTTGAACAATACTACTTAGTTAACCATGGTTCTACGTATGACTTGGTAATTTCTTCGTTAATTGTAGTATGAAAGGTTTGGTGAATCTGGTAGTTGAATAACTTAGATTTAAATGCCAAATAAAGGTGTACGTTAACTTCAAACAAGAGTCATACTTTTAACTCATGGGAAAAACTATTAAGAATTTTTCACAGAAGAAACTGGGTGTCCAGTGACTATTGTTTAGTTGTGACTTTTCATCATATTTAAGACTCATCAACCAAGTAAACTTGTATCCTAGTGTTTGTTGTCTTACTAGCATATAAGTTATGTACATAAAGCTTGTAACATATGATCATTATACACTAAGCTACTGGGTCACGATTTCCATCAGTTGTTCAAAGGTTTACGTTATATTATTACTTATAATATCAAGAATATCGAAACTTGAATACAGAAATAATCAAACGCGCGAACTGATTTTCACTGCTGAATCTTATTCAAATTATAATCAACAAGTAAATACAAGTAATCTGAAAACGTTTGTTCAAGGAACCCATATAACAACCGAAATATCAACGATGGAAGATAATAATCTCATACAGTTAATAATTTTCTATTATTCTGATTACCAATAATTTTGAAATTGATAGTGTTTTAGCTCTAAAACAAATAACCTTTTATGTGTTACTATACTTTACATTTACTAAAATTATTCAGATTGCCCTTTATGGTTATCTTTGGCCCCCTTTCTATTTTATTTAACTTAAACTTTTATGTTGTTTGAAAATAAGTAAAAAGAACTATTCAAATTTGGCAATTTATTCATTATTACTATTATTGTTATTATTTAATGTTCATATTTTTCTCAAGCTTTTTCTTCGAGCTCACTTTTCGTATGATCCAAAAAATGATAATTTAATTCCATGCAAAGAAGCTGGTTTAAAATTTTCAGCTGGTTCTGTCCTTCAAGTTCTTAAACAAGAAGATCCTTATTGGTGGCAGGTGAATTGACGGAATTTTTTTAAAAATTTATAGTGATTCTTTTATTTATCTGTTAGAGAAAATTAAAATATTTTCCGTTATATGGTCGTCGAAGAGTGGTTAGTATTTATGAAGAGAGTTATGCAAGTTATAGATTTACAATAAATTTATTCGAACTATAAAACTATCAGTAAATATCAGCGTTGCCTATAACATTTTCGTAATCAGTAACCTTGATATAAAGAAGGAATCTGAGGAGTATTTTGAAAATTATTTTGCGCTGTTTAATGGGTCTATGTAGGAATATGGGTGTGCTGTGTAGGCAAAGAGTAAACTAAAGGAAAAAATATACTAAAAAACAAAAAAGCGCTCCAGTGACTAATGTAAAACAACGTGTTATTTTCACTTATGAATAAATTGTTTGAAGCAATGTTGAAAAAAAGTATATAAGTTAAAAGAATATTGGAAGTTAACAAAGTATATTAGGATATACTTTTAAGGCATTTTTGGAATAGAAACTGATCCATCTTGATCTGAATGTTATATTAAAAACCAACACCCTTATGGGCTTTTATCTAGAAGCCATCATATTCTCGATTTATCACTCCTATAGAAATAAAATGTTCTTCATTCTAACTTGTCAAAAGTTTCATACAACGGGAACATATTCGTAGATCTATTCATGAAAGCACAGTGAATTTCCGCTTTTAAATTGTACAGTTAATTATTTTAGAAAGTATGACAAAAAAGATCGAGTTTCAAATAAAATAAGATTTTTCCTTATATCATATTTAACTGATTATTTCTTGTGTTTGTATTTTTAGGCAAGACATCATAATCAAGATGGTCGTGCTGGTCTAATTCCATCTATAGTACTACAAGAAAGACGTAAAGCCTTTATTCAAAGTGCGCCTAATCCAGAAGAGCTAACTTATAAAATGTTCGCATGTGGACTTGCAAAACGTAGAAAGAAAAAAGTAAATAGTTACTAATTGTCCCTCTGTGTATAACACTTGTTTGTATGTATGTATTATTTCAATTGCGCTTGGCTAGTTTTATCAATAAGTAATCCATGATACCGAAGAAATTCGGTTTCATGATAGAGGGAGTTAACGAAATGTATTTAAGCATTTTGGAGATAAATAAATAGTTTCATTGCGGTTCAGACTATCCTTTGTTTCCCTTAAAATTAGAGAAATTACTAGTAAATTACTCAGCTCTCAACTGATCTCTCGTAAGAATTAACGGCACAAAATTACCAGTCACTAGAAATTCACTTCGTATTGTTTACTAATCAGTATGATAGTTCACTTCAATTATTATGTAAAGAATACATGTGACTTTTTAAAACAGGTTTAATATTTTATGTTGGACAAGAGTAACAAGAAAGTTTACCTCAATTTCAACAGTTTATGTCCAATAAGTTACAAAAAGGGAAATGTACGAACCCTCTTTGACCGCGCTCGTATACTTTACTCCAAAGAAAGCCTGGAAGAAGGTACTTATCTTCATCACAAATTGCCTACGCGACAATGCATATCCAGCGGGATTCATAGAGAAGTATACCAAAACCAATTTGCTGGTTAAACACTATACCGTTGATAAGAAATCCTTCTATTTATATTCGCGCTTCAAAGGAGATGAAGTCATTAGAGTGATTAACCACAGGACAAATGCCGCATTAAAGGTTGCTCGTCCATCAGCAAAACTGACGACGTTATATGAAACACACTGCTCTCTCAAACAAACAAAATTGACAGGTTATCTTTTTCTCAGTACATCCAACTACATTTACCAATTTATAAGTACGTGCGAAAGCACACAAACTGGAAGAACATAAAGAAGTGTACATGTTCGTATCTCTGAGCACATTTCAAAGAATTTGAGACTGAGAGGCGCAACTATTCTAAATAAGTGCACTGACTCATCATTTCTTACCTCAGTGTTAACCTTCAATACATTTATGGTTCTAAGCAGTTTATGAGAAACTACGAAATATAATGAATTCATATTTTTCTGTATCAATTTTTGTTCTGATTCTATTCTAAAAAGAAAGCACTGTTTGCGTGTACTGAATTTCAGAATTCTTCTAATACCGGTGATTGTGAATCCCTATGTAAATATACCTTTGATTGTTTCGAACGTCATCAGATTTGTAGTAGTTTAGAAGGACAATTGCAAATGATTGTATAGGGGTAGGACTGTCACGTTTTTCCTTTGTGATCTGACCCTCTGGGCTCAATCATGTAGGGAGTTTGACAATTATCACCAGTCGCACTGGATGATTCTTGAGCAACTAATTGTAAAATAAATTGTAGAGGCGAACCCAGTAGTTTGTAGGTAACTTGCTATCTGAGAGGTGTGAAGACTGTGGGCTCAATTTCCGGGTGTAACCATGAGTGCACATCGCTAAAGTGTTTCATTCCGGGACAAAGCAGCTATCCAATGTTCCTTCACTTTTAATGGATGTCGATGTAATGTCGGTTTATGGAATGAACTATTTAAAAATAAATATGCTCTATTAAGCAGTTGTTAATAAGTTCTCAATGCTTGTTTAATGCTAATTTACGTGGTAAGAGGAGAATAAATATAATAAGGTATTAATATATTTCGTAAACAGCAAACACAAGTAGCGGAAACAACTATATTCTGAACAAATTAATTGTGAACGAAGGTTATCTAGCTGACAAACACGGGAAAATAATTAACCCTTGGGAATTCCTGAAAAAAGACCTTTTCAGGAAGGTACAGGGCTGTAAACACCTGATACAACTTTTAATAGAAAGTTTTGGAAAACGATTAATTGTGTCATATCCTTATTGGATAATCGGCAGTTTTATTAATAAATTTAACATCTTTTCAGAAGCTTTCAGAGTACCAAGTCTACAGAAATACTTATGAATATCCTTGTTTTCTACCCATAAATTAACCTAAAAATAATAAATTCTATGGGTAATTTCAAAGATTTCTAGCACATATTATCTTGGATTAAACTCTCTTTAAAGTTGATAAATATAGATCGCCATTTAATATGAGTAATCTGATGAACAAAAAATGCTCAGGTCAATCATGTGATGTTTCTTTTTTTTGATGAATAACTTTCATTATAGGTCACTATACCATTTTGTGCAAGAGATGCTGATAATTATGATACTAAAGATATTGTACTTTATGAAGAAGTTGCTATGGTATCCGGTTTCCAGCGTCCTGTTATTTGTTTAATCGGAGCTCCTGGAGTTGGTCGTCGAAGTTTACGTAATATGCTTATTCGTGTTAATCGAGAGAGATATTCATCAGCTATTGCACGTAAATCGACTAAGAATTTTATTTTAATATACAAGTTACTTATTATTTCAATAAAACTTATTTCTTTATTAGTTTTTTACCATCCTATGGTATAGAATATCTCAATCAGTCAAGTAATCATAAATATGAATAGATTTCACTGTATATTGTATTATTATTTGTAATTATTTGTAATCTTGTTTCTGCATTTCGTGCCTAACTTTGTTTAAGGTTTAATTAAGTATTTTAATTCATCTGGCTCCAAGTATTTTCATATTCCTCACTTTTGTGCTCTGTGATAGTTATTCATGTCGTTTTCAAAACTTAAAATTAGGCTACATTCGTACTTATATGGTTATACAGATGAACGAAATCATGCTCAATATAGGTATATTATCTGTTTTCTGCCACTAAAACTATGATGAACTATCTGCTTATAGAAAATATTCGTTTCTCTCTGACTAACATTGAAATGACTGGTATTATTATTATTATTATTATTATTATTATTATTATTATTATTATTATTATTATGCAGGTCGGACAACAGATAGGGCTGGCTATGTCTTTGGAAAGTCTTAATATTGATGTGTGTTGTCTATCCGAGACCCGTATTCAAGACTCTGGTGAAGTACTACAAGTTCGCTCTCCATCTGTCACTTCAAAAAGCTTGTTTTATGTGCGTTTATCCGGGGAGCCTGTGGCATCTTCGTCTGGTCTTGCTGGCGTTGGTGTCGCACTAAGCGCTAGAGCTGAGGCAGCACTAGTCAACTGAATCCCCATTAACAGTCGGTTATGTGCTGTTAGATTAGAAAGTTCCATCAAAGTGAGAAGAAATCGGCGTGAGAAACGATGTCTTTTCGTCATCTCCGCCTATGCCCCGACAGATTACAGCCCGGATGCAATCAAGGATGAGTTCTACCATCAGCTAACTGTTCTTCTCCAGAAAGTGCGTTCGACAGATATTGTAGTACTAGCTGGAGACTTGAATGCTCAGGTCGGGCGTCTAGGCACAGAAGAGAGTCGTTTAGGTTGCCGATGGGGACTCGTTGGTCGCAGGACAGATAACGGGGAACGTCTACTGCAACTATGCACAGACCACAACCTGTTTCTGGTTAGCACTAACTTTCGGCACAGTCATCGCCGATGTGCCACCTGGCATCCCCCTTCTGCATCTCAAGCCTGGACCCAGATTGATCACATCGCGATCAGCTACCGCTGGCGTGGTTGTGTACAAGACTGCCGCTCCTTCTGGAGTACCTATCTGGAATCTGATCATGCTCTGGTCTGCGCCAATCTTACCTTACTTTTCAGTGGACAACTAAGTGACCGCCACCACAGGATTGATGTTAGCAAGCTGGCTGCAACTTCTGTTGCTAGTAAGTATCGAACCGAGCTAGCTTCTAAGCTAGCTAGCATTCCACCGAAAAGTATAGATGAGCATTGGTTGCAATTGCATGACGCCATGAAAATGGCGGGTACAGTCTGTTGTGGGTTTGCGAAACGTCCCGCTTACAAGCACTGGGTTTCTTCTGGTTCCTTACAACTGATTGAAGCCCGTCGGTCTACTCCGGGTGACCGTGAGTTTGACCACAGACGAAGGATTTTACGTAATGAAATCGGGCAAAGCTTGCGTAAGGACCGAGAAGCCTGGTGGTCGGAGCGTGCCAGTGAGTTGGAAGCAGCAGCTGCATCTGGTAATTACCGGAAGCTCTTCCAACTCATCCGAGCCACTGGCAGCAAGAAGTCTGGTGTGAGCGAAACAATCTGCGAGGATGACGGAACGCCAATCACTAACATCCATCGACGTCTTGGACGATGGGCAGAATTCTTTGAAGGGCAGTTCAACTGGCCTGCTGCTCCGGCAACATCGGTCAGACTGTCCTGCCCTCCATGGCCGGTGACGACTGATCCACCAAATGAGGCGGAAGTCCGCAAGGAACTCCAACACTTGAAACGTTACAAATCACCGGGCCCAAACGACTTACCTCCGGCTCTTTTTAAAGATGGTGGTGACTTTCTGACGACGTTGTTTACAAAGATCTGGGAACTAGAGAGTGTACCAACGTCATGGAATGAGTCGATAGTTGTCCCTATCTTTAAAAAGGGTTCACGTTGTTCCTGTAACAACTATCGGGGGATAAGTCTACTTCCGATTGCGTCCAAGCTATTGGCTTCCGTCATACTTCGTAGGTTGTTCAGAACCCGAGAAGGATTGACTCGCGAGGAGCAGGCTGGGTTTCGTTCTGGTCGAGGATGTATTGATCATATCTTCACCCTCCGCCAAGTGTTAGAACACCGCCATACTTATCAAAGGCCAACAATCGTAGTGTTTCTTGATATCAGGGCTGCCTTCGATTTGTTGGACAGAACTATTCTCTGGGATTGTCTATTGAAGAAGGGTGTGCCTGAGAAGTTTATTAACATCCTAAAAGCCCTATACACAAACACCTCAGGCAGAGTGAGGGCATACAACCACCTTTCTCCACTATTCCATTCGAGCAGTGGGGTTAGACAGGGTTGCCCAATCTCACCATTCCTCTTCAACTTTGCCATCGATGACATTCTGGAAACAGCTCTGACGGATGTAAGTAATGGTGGTGTGGATCTGTTGCCTGGAGAAAGACTTCTCGACCTTGAGTATGCGGATGATATTGTCTTACTGTGCGAGAATGCCCAAGCCATGCAATCCGCACTTAATCAGTTGGCAATCAGTGTCCGTCGGTATGGTATGTGCTTTGCACCTTCGAAGTGCAAAGTTCTTCTACAAGACTGGCAGGATTCTAATCCTGTACTCACTCTGGATGGTGAGCAGATAGAAGTAGTCGAGAAGTTCGTGTATCTAGGTAGCTGCATAAGTGCTGGTGGTGGTGTGAGTGATGAGATCAATGCACGTATAGTGAAAGCCAGAGCGGCTTATGCCAATCTGGGCCATCTTTGGCGCCTTCGTGATGTTAGTCTGGCTGTAAAAGGTCGGATCTACAACGCGACGGTGAGAGCAGTTTTGCTCTATGCTTGTGAAGCCTGGCCTCTCCGAGTTGAGGATGTTAGACGACTCTCTGTGTTCGACCATTGCTGTCTCCGAAGGATTGCTGGCATCCAGTGGCAGCACCATGTCAGTAATGCAGAGGTCCGGTATCGTATGTTCGGTCACAAAGACGATAATGAAATTGGTGTCACCATCTTGAAACACCGACTTCGGTGGCTTGGACATGTTTTACGAATGTCGTCCCAGAGAATTCCACGTCGTGCATTATTTGCCGACTCTGGGACTGGTTGGAAAAAGCGGTGAGGTGGTCAGTATATGACATGGTGTCGTGGTATGAAAGAAAGCTGCAAAGGGCTAGCTTCTGTTGGTCCTTCACGACTCCCTGGTTGGGGTCCGAGAGACGGTGTAACGCAGTGGCTAGAGACATTATTAGATATGGCTCAGAATAGAAGCCAGTGGCGATCGTGCTGTAACCTTCTTTTACTTTCTTCATAAAACGTGGTTGTATCTTCCTTAACTGAAAGATCTCTTCTGATTGTACCTTTTCGTTTTCCTTATCATTGTTCTCTCCTTTTTTTTTATAATTCCCCACGTTCATTACTTTTTTTTTATATATATATTTTTTCTCCTCTTCACATTATCATTGTTTTGTGTGGCGCATATATATTTGGTGACCTTTTGTACCAATATTTATGTGTTCAAATAAATGAATAAATAAATAATGAACTCAATGTGAATCGAAGCCGGTAAGAGTGTAGTATAGAGACGTGTTTAAAACGACCGAGGCGAATTTTGTCCAGCTGTTAACCAATAAGAAAACAACTTTTGTAAATGAATAGTTTATGGGAAAAAACAATAATATTACAAGATGCAAACAGATTTTACATAATTAATAAGTCATTTATATGAACATGATCCGTCTAATCAAACGCTTATTAAGACCTAGGAAAATCTTTAGGAGTTCGCACATTTTTCCTGGTTAGAGTTAGGATCAGAAGTTAAGAATTAAGATTTGGTTAAGGGTTGATTTGTGTGTTACATATATTCTACCTCCAAGTCTCCTCTCCTGTGTAACAGGACTCTTTTTTTCATCTGAAATCAATTTTCCATATATAAGATTCATCTAAAGAATCTCGGTAAACCATCCATGTCAATGAATTTTTTTACTATTTTCGCTTTTATAAAATTACTTCACCCTCAATTTAGTCCGTGTTTATTTATTGTTTTATTTCTTTTTATTGACCTTAGATACATCAAAAGAATTAGATGTTGGAGAAGAGGATGATGGTGAATTTATTGTTGAATCGAAAGCAAAAATGGAAATGGATAATTTAAAAAATAAATATCTTGAAGTAAATTTAAATTTTCTATGTCTAATTAATTAATTATATTTATTACATAAACATTACTAAGAATGTTGCTAGATGATTTAAATATGAAATTATAAAAGTAATGATAAAAAAAGTCATTTCTACCAAAGTTGTACTTGGATTACACAGAAATAGACACTATTTAATTGGGTAGAATACAGGGATGAATTATGAATTTTGTAAATAATCTTTACATACTTTTTGTATAAAATAAGTCAATTGGTTTACGTACTAATCAAGGGGTAAGGAAGAAAATCGTTTATAGGTCAGATAATAGTCCAATTGACAAGTATGAAGAAAGGCGACAAACATAAAGGTCATTATAATAAACTGAATAATAATCATGAAAACTTGTATAAGGTAATAATAATAATAATGACCTTTGTGTTTGTCGCCCTTCTTCATATTTGTCAATTGGACTATTATCTGACCTATAAACGATTTTCTTCCTTACTCCTTGATTAGTATGTAACCTCATTTGTTATTTTCCTCGAATCCATTTTGGTGATGCAAAAATTTTTTCAACTGGTTTAATCAAATATTGGTTTGAATGAATCGTCTATTGAAACAACAAAACCACTCATCAAGGGTAGAAATCAATGATACTTCACATCTATTATAAGTCTTTTTTGTAGGATGTCAATATCTTTTGCATACGTGTTATAATCAGTATATACGAATAACTTTTTAAATAATAGACATGAAATGGTAAATGATTTCCTACAGTTTATCTGTATGTTTAATTCAGTGTATTCTGCTTATCTACATTACTGATCTAATTTTCTTCTGAACTAAAAGTACATGATAATAGTTAGGTTTTGAACAAAAATTTTTGAATGACGTTTGAATCTCATTTCGCTAATGGTTATCATTGTTGCGGAGAAACTACTGCAGATTAATCATCGGTATTTTATTCGATTTATACAAAAATTGAGGTTGTGGAAAGTCATTTCAATTTTATCTCCATCAGAATTTTCCTAATTTATGGAAATACATTTTACTAGTCTTCGTTCCCACTGTTAACAGTATTTGTTAGTCAAGCTCTTCAACTACCTTGCCATTCCCAATTTCGCTATAATTGTGCACACGATAAAATTTCTTTCGATTTAGCCCATTCTATCTGGAAAGTGAATCTGCTAAGATCTACAGGCGACCGCGAAGATTTGAACTTTACATTAGCACGTAAAGTCAACAGTCGTCGCGGCTTCTCATTATAGTTCCAGTCTTCATAGCGCTCCTTGAAATGCTTAACCTACTTAAAAAACTGTTTTCTTTTTTTACGTTATCTTCATAAACAACTGTTCGTCCTGAATGAATTTCTTTAGCTTATTTCAGGTCCCACCAAAACAATTAACCTATTTTTCTTTCTATATCATTCGTCTATACATATTTATGTTAGCTGGTTAGAATGTAGAGAAAAGATTTACATTATTATAGTGAAGTTTTGTCTCATAATGCAATATGGATAACTGAAGAAAACAATTCTCAAATTCAGTGTTTTAGCGTTGAAATTCTAGGTTGATTTTATACTTTTACAACTTTTAGTTTGCTTTATCCATACCGACATGTTGTAGAACATATTAGATCTTGTATATACTTAGTTATAAAATAAGATGAATTAAAGGATGAGTTCTCTTTTCTGTGAATCCAATTTCAAAACTGCACAAATGGAGAATATTTTTGAGCTGAATTACATTGATCCAACTACCAACATCAATTTAGGATGTTAATAAAGCTTTTAGGATGTTAATAAACTTCTCAGGCACACCCTTCTTCAATAGACAATCCCAGAGAATAGTTCTGTCCAACAAATCGAAGGCAGCCCTGATATCAAGAAACACTACGATTGTTGGCCTTTGATAAGTATGGCGGTGTTCTAACACTTGGCGGAGGGTGAAGATATGATCAATACATCCTCGACCAGAACGAAACCCAGCCTGCTCCTCGCGAGTCAATCCTTCTCGGGTTCTGAACAACCTACGAAGTATGACGGAAGCCAATAGCTTGGACGCAATCGGAAGTAGACTTATCCCCCGATAGTTGTTACAGGAACAACGTGAACCCTTTTTAAAGATAGGGACAACTATCGACTCATTCCATGACGTTGGTACACTCTCTAGTTCCCAGATCTTTGTAAACAACGTCGTCAGAAAGTCACCACCATCTTTAAAAAGAGCCGGAGGTAAGTCGTCTGGGCCCGGTGATTTGTAACGTTTCAAGAGTTGGAGTTCCTTGCGGATCAGTCGTCACCGGCCATGGAGGGCAGGACAGTCTGACCGACGTTGCCGGAGCAGCAGGCCAGTTGAACTGCCCTTCGAAAAATTCTGCCCATCGTCCAAGACGCCGATGAATGTTAGCGCCTGGCGTTCCATCATCCTCACAGATTGTTTCGCTCACACCAGACTTCTTGCTGCCAGTGGCTCGGATGAGTTGGAAGAGCTTCCGGTAATTACCAGATGCAACTGCTACTTCCAACTCACTGGCACGCTCCGAACACCAGGCTTCTCGGTCCTTACGCAAGCTTTGCCCGATTTCATTACGTAACAACCTTCGTCTGTGGTCAAACTCACGGTCACCCGGAGTAGACCGACGGGCTTCAATCAGTTGTAAGGAACCAGAAGAAACCCAGTGCTTGTAAGCGGGACGTTTCGCAATCCCACAGCTGACTTGACCCGCCATTTTCATGGCGTCATGCAATTGCAACCAATGCTCATCTATACTTTTCGGTGGAATAGTGGCTAGCCTAGAAGCTAGCTCGGTTCGATACTTACTAGCAACAGAAGTTGCAGCCAGCTTGCTAACATCAATCCTGTGGTGGCGGTCACTTCGTTGTCCACTGAAAAGTAAGGTAAGATTGGCGCAGACCAGAGCATGATCAGATTCCAGATAGGTACTCCAAAAGGAGCGGCAGTCTTGTACACAACCGCGCCAGCGGTAGCTGATCGCGATGTGATCAATCTGAGTCCAGGCTTGAGATGCAGAAGGGGGACGCCAGGTGGCACATCGGCGATGACTGTGCCGAAAGTTAGTGCTAGCCAGAAACAGGTTGTGGTCTGTGCATAGTTGCAGTAGACGTTCCCCGGATACAAAAAGTAGAAATAGGAGATAGTGAATAAATGACGTAGTAAATAATAATAATAATAATAACAATAATAATAATAGTAATAATAATGATAATAATACCAGTCATTTCAATGTTAGTTGGAGAGAAACGAATACTTTCTATAAGCATATAGTTCATCATAGTTTTAGTGAGTGGGCTGGGATACTGCCCGGGTGCCCAGACCGAAGCAGGTGGTTTTCTTAGGGGGCCACACCCCGAGCCTTTGACCTAAAGGTCTAGTCCACAAGGCAGTGGAGCATCGTGAGGAGATGCAGTCCCATGGAAGCCGGTGACCAAAAGTTTATTCATACGCCATTTGTTCCCGTAGGATACTGGAGCCTATGTGCACCATAGAATTGGGATCCGGTTATAGCGCCGGTCGTTCGCTTTTCGTCCTCTCATTTTCGTAAACAACACCCGTGGTGCGAGAAGGCAGTGAGTAGGACTTCCCTGGCAGAGGCTGTATACGCGTGGCCGTGTGAGAGTATTTCGAGAGGGAGGGGGAACCCTCCCCGCTCTCGGCCATACCACGGCATTTGGGGGCTAGAGACGTTATCAGATATGGCTCAGAATAGAAGCCAGTGGCGATCGTGCTGTAATCTTCTTTTACTTTCGTCAGAAAAAGTGGTTGTATCTTCCTTAACTGAAAGATCTCTTCTGATTGTACCTTTCCGTTTCCCCACCATTGTTCTCTCTCTCTTCCTTTTTTTTTATAATTCCCCACGTCCATTACTTTTTTTCTCTCTTTTCTCCTTCTCTTCAAATTATCATTGTTTTGTGTGGCGCATATATATTTGGTGCCCCCCTGTACCAATATTTATGTGTTCAAATAAATAAATAAATAACCAACATCAATTAATAGTATATCAAATTCGTTACTACTAGTACAAATACTTTCTTCTATGTTTTTAGAAGTAATGAACTACTTACGTACACTTTAAAACAATAGGTATTTGATTATGAAGGAAATTTTGATAAGGTTTGTAACCTTTTATATCATACATTTTAGGAAGTTATGGTGAGAACACTCAATTTAACTCTTGAATAAAGTAATACTATGAATGTGATTGTATATCAATAAATTTTCTACTTCTATTTATGTATATTTTTCATCTTTTAAATTGAAGTTCGGCGAATATGAAGATAATTTTTATGGTACAAAATATGATAGTGTCCGAGAAGTAGTACAAGCAGGTCGTACATGCTTACTTGATTGTTCGATACAAGCTGTGTCCAAGTTAAGAAATTCAGAATTTATGCCTTATGTTGTATTTCTTGCTGCTCCATCGGTTAGTTGTATGAAAGCGATGTATGAATATGGCATGAGTATGGGTTTCACTGAGAAATGGAAAAGAGTATGTTTTATTTAAAAATTTAATGATTGCTTTTCCAGTTATGATTATGTAAAATTTACTTTTATAACAAACCCCATTTATTTACATTTGTTTAAGATGTATGCACAAATAGAGAATATTTGAGTTACATTACCCTACCTAAAATTAGAAGCGTACCAAATTAGTTAGTTCTACTACCAATATTTTTGTCTATGTATTGAGAACTAGTGAACAAATTATACGAACTTTAAAACAACAGAAAGAGTACAATTCGAAACTTTCTGTTTGATGATTGTTTTCTACCAGCGCTTCCACATTCCGATAAGGTTCTTTTGCAAACTTGATAACCATTATCGTGTACTGATGGTAACACTTAGCGGTTTGTTTCGCACTGTTGTAAAAATATACTAATACAGTGGTTACATCAATTGTAACGAGTAATCACAATACAAACACGATGAAGCAAAGTCCACATATGTTCGAATAATATTCAGTAGTTAAGAACTTTTGAACAGTCAATTATTGATAACACCGTTTAGTTTATTGCAAACAACTATGGAGACCGATCATATGTGAGGCCAATAACTGTACACTAATAAAAAATACTTGGTCATGAAATTGAACCGTTTCTTGGAAATGTAATCACTAATTGCCCATCTCTTTGGATGTCATAAATCTCAGTATTTTTTTTACTGCTGCATTGTTCGATTTTCGGGGACTATAATTATTTGTTGAACATATAATCAATGATTTTGGGTCTCAACGGAGAAACCTTATATCATTATACATAACTATTCTGCTGCAAACTGTTAATTCTAAAGTCTGTCTAAAAATCTTGTGCATAAGAAAATCCCGCTTCAAACAATTAATCATAATTTCAACACTATTCTTACATTGTAAACAAAAGTATTTTTTTGTGTGTGATTCTTTTTAACAATCTGATCATTATATAATCGTTATTTCTACTATGATTTTTATTTGATATAACGTTAAACGTCACATAAACTCTTGGCTTTTGCTTAGAAACATAAAAGTCATTTTCTTGATTTTGATTAGTTTGATGTTACACCATAAATTTAGCTATTGTCATTATATTTTACCTTCTAAAATATTAACAATAATTTTTTTCTCTAATCAATCAGGATGAAACATTTCGTAAAACACTTGAAACCAGTACCTATATAGAACGTGAATATAATTATCTCATGGATTTAATTTTATTATGTGATAATATTGAAACAACTTTTGAACAATTAAATTATCATCTAAATAATTTACTAACAGAACCACAATGGGTACCAGCTAAATGGCTTTATTAATTGAAGACAAGATCTAGTAGAGAACACACTACAATTAAACAGTAATCGCTCATTATAATTTCGTTGTTTTGCATATCTTAGTTTGAAGGTGTTTTATTTTATTTAACCTAAATTCTCGTATTGTTTAATCCTTTGCTTGTATATATCGACTTATAACATCTCACTGAAGTGAATAGTTTTTACCTCTAAATTTATTATTTAAAAAAAAATGATCCAGGTTTGATTTTACGGTTCAAGTCACGTTTTTTTCTACAGAAAATATGTTTCTTGTAGTATGCGCTTTTTTTGGTTTGCGACGTTTTAATCAAAAGAGATTGGATATTGAACGTAAAAAATTACCATTTATTGTCTGTAAGAAGTTCTTAAATAGTTTAACAACTGGCAATGTGTTTAGTATAAGCAAACTTGTTGTTATTTGTGTACTAAGTTGTTAATTTGTGTGTTCAATTTACATAGAAAATAACAGTATCATTATTTGCTAAATTAGATTTGGTGGTTGTCGAATGAAGTAAGGATCATTCGTATGATATCAGTCCATTACAGTCAGTCAGCTGCAACGTAGGACCAGGCACATATATGCATCGGTTCAAGTTGGCATACCGCATTAGCACAGTGAGATGAACACCGGATTCATAGAAGTAGTTAATTCAGTGGTGGTAATATATAGAACAAAGATTGCATATAAGGAGATAGTACAGGAAGAGATAATTAATTCGTAGAAAGATATGAAGTGATTTTAATCTCTTAGTTTTAAGGAAGACAGAGTGTATACACCGACGCCATTGTGATCGATTCTGAGCCATGTCCATTACAGCACAGAAGACATCATGAAATCGTCTCCATACATTCGAAAGGATAACATTTATGAAGTTGAACATGTATTTCAATTAAGTCTTTTATATTAGTTGTTAGAAAAAGATGTTATACAAATATAATTAATAAACAAACAATCAAAGAATTTTGAAAAGATGAAAACCAACCCGTAAAAAAGCAGTCATTATCGAATACATTGTATCAGTCCCAATTCGATAAACATTTAAATACATTTTAAGGGAATCTAAACAACAAATGTTCTGGGAAAAGTTTGGAAAAGAAACAAATGACTTTTTCTTAAAAGAGCGAGCAATTAAAATTGATTGTCTTTAGGAAAAGCAATGTTTTCCCAATTTAAGGTCGCCGCGTTCGTGAAACCTAAGGAAAAATAGAAGAGATAATAAGAATATTCGAATTTCGATAAATAACGAATAATAGAATCATAGCACTACAACAGTAGAGTATTGCAACAAAATCTGTAAGATAGGCCAAGCTAGGACATGCTATGTTTACCGACAGAATGGTTGATAGCGTACTCTTATGTCTGATCAGAAACTTGTTATGTATTGGTACTTCATCAGGACACATTCAATACACAGTATTACTACTCCGCAGAGATGCAGTTGTTGATTCAAATCTCATAGTGGTAGAGGTAGTAAGAGTATAAGCAGTAATCGTAAACATTAGGGTTTGCGGATGTTATTTACGGAGTATAATTCAGATTAGAATTTGGGAAAACACAAAGAGTAGATGCACCTGCACTATTGCAAACGATTTTGAGCCATGTCATTCAAGGTCACCGACCATCGGTTGCTATCCTCTCGCGGAATCCAACCAGGTAGTCTACACCTATCAACATGACTCAGTTCACTTGTCAGTGACTTCATGGATTTGTGCCTTGTTTTAGTCTGGCCGCCCCTAGCTTTCTCCTAACCTACTCCTACACCATAAAACATCGCACGTTGGGGCAGTCGGTGGTTGGGTATACGTATCACATTCCCATCCATTTCAACTGATGAAGTTTCACTACTTCATCAATTGATTTGCCATCCTCAACTAGTATCCGTTTCATAACGACTGCATTAATTAATCGGTGGTCACAGGATATACGAACAATGTTTCGAAGACACCTATGATCGAAACATTGCTCATATATCCTGGGACATTAAGGTGGGAATCCCGGAAAACATAATTTAGTAAATTAGTCACATTACTAGATAAGCAGACGATAAAATATCATAGTTGAGGCTATCACGTAAAAATCTAATTAACATGTGATAATTTCATCCCGCGTAGCTATAATCCCAATCTGAGTTGAAATTAATGTGGTTGAACATCAGATAACTAAATGTAAATAAATTACTAAGTTCGAAAACAAACATCAATATCACTCTAGTGAAGCGCGAATCTCCTTATTTAGAATGTGTACAGTTTAATAGATCATAGAATATGCACTAACCTGAGGAGGAATAAAACGTCTTGACTGATTAGCATTATGATGAGGTGTAGTTGATCGGTTAGACGGTAGATCCTGTTTAACAGGAGGACGAAAGGAATCCTGTCTGTTTCTCTCACCATATGATTGCATTAGCGGGTTGTTAAACCTATAGAAAAAATAGCGAGTCGAGAAATTCCAACAAGAATTTCACATTTCTCAAGTTGTAGTTGACAATCTAGTTTTTTTAATTGATGACTTAAATAAATTCCTTTCTTATTTCTATTCATAGTGTGTTAATCAACTTTGCATTGGAAACATTACTAAATAGTACAAATTTAGTACGATATATATATATATATATATATATATATATATATATATATATATATAAAGATGAAGAACAATGTCCGAGAAAGCGTCCTTTAAATGTGAATTATTATTTAGAGAGTGAAAAAAATCTGATGGTTTATTACTACAATATATCTCTCTTTAATATAACTATAAAAAAAGAGATTGATAAATACGAAGTTAAGGGACGAGAAAACAAATTTTGACCTGTAAATTCAACATACGAAAAGAAATATCTGACTTCAAAACTATAATTTTATTGGACAACTATATATATATATATATATATATATATATATATATATATATATATATATATATATATATATATATATATATATATATATATATATGTTTATTGTATAGCGTTTAGTTGATTGTATGGTCTGTGTAAACGTTTGTTGCATACAAAATAAATTATCGGAAACCAAGATTGGATTCAGAGGAAAACTGTTTAGATACTTTCACTACATCGAGCTTAAGCACTTATCTAGAGAACTGTTAACCGACTTCAGCAATCGGTTGAGGTTTACTTATTATTTAAAAACATAATCGATTCACCCAAATAGCATACTTTTGTTTTTTCGCAATTTCATCATTTTCTTTGCATTTCGAAGCCTGATTAATTTGTCAATTAAACGATTATTTTTTCTTAGTAACTATTTTCTCAATGCTATCATAATAAACTAGCAGGGTTCAGAGAAACAGATCTCTTTTAAGTTATAGCATTCTTTAACGGGATAATAGAGGGAAAATTCATACAATACTTCGATAAGAATTCCGTTCAATTTGCATGTACTTTATTTTTCGAGATGGAAGTATCGAATTCCGGAGGTTCTTCTAATAAGAAACAGGATTTAAGCGAACTACATAACACAAAACACTTTAAAAACAATCTCTCATTTGATGGAAAAAGAAACCCAGGTAAAAAAGTTTCAACTGTGATAGAAGGATCCAGTTTATATTAGCCACACTTGTGTTCTTGAGGCACATAAAAAATGGCGAACCAAATCCGAAAATAACGAGTCGGTATAGAAGGTTACCGCGGGCATTCTTTTATGTCAGGACTGTCGTTTAGCAATAGACAAGAAGAAAGTCTAAGGACATCCTAGTAGTGAGATAAACAGTAACAGCTGTACGATTCAAACATGAAGACCTATTTACTTAATGGAACAGAGAATACTAAGTAATGAAACATGATTTAGCAAGGACAAATCAAATCCATATTAAAAGAAACGAGGACATGATGTAAGAAAAACAGAGACAATATAATAATGTAATAAACTGGTTTTTACGAAAGGAGATCATTGTTACACATATGATATGTTCCATATTTATGCTTTGGATTCATTAAATATTACCTTTACCATTTTGATAGATAGTATAATGAAGTATGTTTTTTTCGACAGGAACACTTTGTTCATGAGAAAATCAATAAACAATAGTCTATTCATTTAAGGTTGAATATACAACAACTCATTTCTTATTGTTAAAATAATGTCAGTGTTATTTTCAGATAGAAATTTAATTAAAACATATTTATGAATATGTTCATTGATCTTTTCAACAGACACTAGAAATAGAATACTCATAACATAAACACATTCAGAAGAATATCTTTGTTCATTTATTAACAAAAAAATGAAGCGTTTAGATGCACGTAAAAATAAAATCAATAGTTGCAGCAAATGATTTTTCTAATGTAAAGTCGAATAAATTTTTGCCAGATCAAATATTAATTTACCTACTATTCTGTGATTTATTGAATGAAGGAATAAATAAAACACGTAAATAACAGTATAGCAAAAATAATGAATTAACATACCGGTGAGTATTCTCGTAGTTCATTGTAGAGTTATAAACCTGAGCATTAAGATTCGACATTAATGGAAACTGAGGAATAGGTGCACGATTTATAAAGTTAGGTGGATAAATAGGCGAAGTGGAATAGGAAGGATATGAAATATAAGAAGAATTAGGCATTCTTTGATCATAGAGGTACGGAGTCATCATTTTAATCGGGTATACTGTAGATGGCATTACCCGTTGAAACTGCAGAAGTGGAAGTGGTTGATATGCAGATTGCAATTGAGGTTGCATTTGGTTAAGAGGAGGATACTGACCCATGTTTGGAGGTCCATTAAGATTTTGTCTTACAAAAACGGGCATTGGTGTTTGTTTCGGCATGACTGGAGTTGGTGCTTCCTGAGAAACCTCACTATTGTGGTTTAACCGTGGACGATTATTAGAACGAGTGATAGAATTTCTTTGATTACGTTCTGCAGAATTACCAGAACGAGATTTAATCTTAAACAAACCAGTACTTTTTTCGTTCCTACTCCGTGGGTTCTTTTCTTTATCATTTTTAGTTTTATTATTTAATTTCAAGTCATGTATAGGCTTGCTAATATTAGACCAATAAGATGGAGGGAGAGGTACGTCCGGTGGGCTTGGCATAGTCCAAAAATGCGAATTATGTTCTGCATCATGTGATAAATTAGATCGACTTACATTATCGTTGTTATCATCTAGACATGTATTAAGATCACTTATGCTTCGGGAACGGTTAAATTTATTCTGTAGAGTAGGCAAAGTGGAATATGTATCAATATAGTGCGGTCGACGATCCAGTTCTGATAAAAATTTGAAAAAAATATAGAATAATGTATTTTAGGTAGATACTATTGTGATAAAAGTTGAAACCTTAGTGACAATTTGAAAAAAAAACATTACGTGCTAAGGCATATTGTTTTTGCACAGCATATATAGAATTTTAACAATCAATAATATAGCACGGGTATCTTGTATGAAACTCGAATGAAGCATAGTTTAAATAATTTGATTTTCAAAAAAACTTATAAATTAGAAAGTTGAAAATACTTTTCAAAATTCTATGGTGAGTGTATTCTTTACAGATATGAGTACATAAATACATTATTTGAGTAATTCACATGATAATTAAGATCAATATGATAAGGAAGTAAATAGTCTCTGCGGTAATTTTGCTAAATTTAACTAATACAATATATGATGAATATTGGGTAATATATTATTAGATATTTTCAGTAGATCTGATTATTATAACTAATGTCGTATCAAACATTTGTGTAACTAATAATAAATAACCTATTCAATTTGACCAATGAAATCGTGAACATGTAAGTACTTGGCTAAATAATAATACATATAAACTATTTTTGAACAACACATCATAAGATTCATTATACAATGCCGTTTTGCATCTTGTCAAATACAAAACTATTATATGATTAGATCCTTATTGTAAGTTATACGAAAAGGCAATTGTTGATTTGATCTCAAAAGCAGTAGACCCATTAAAACAAAATGTAATATATAAATACGAAAAGGGGTTTTGTGAATATTATAGTAACTTTAACAGTTGAGATTATCAGTCAATTGAAGCTAGACAACCATGGAAAACCTGGAAGCACTGGACGACCGTTTCGTCCTGTTGTGGGACTCCTCGGCAATGGGACGAAAAGATCGTTCATTACTTCCAAGTTTTCCATGGTGGTATAGCTTCAATTGACTCATGATCTCAACTATCAAAATAAATATATCACACAATGAGAATGAATAAAAACGATGGTTTAATATGACGGTTTAGGATTTGATGAAATAATGACGTTGTTTTACATCTATTCTTAAATAATTATTTCCTAACTGACACATATTCACATTATTGTGATTAAACTGTTTGTATATGAATAATAACTTCTTTAATCCTCTGAAATGTTTTAGCATTAATTATTGGGTTAATTATTGATTCGGAAAAACGGAGGCTACAATTTTGGGGATTAGCAAGCTGTATGTACTAAATGATTAATTCAACGAGCATATATATATATATATATATATATATATATATATATATGTAAAGGTAAAAAATTACAAAATAATTGATAAAACGGAGAAAAAATGATTGTAGACCAACCACAGTTTGTTGATCCATTTAAGCATAGGATATAATATATATTGCAGGAGTCCAAAAGATGCAAAGCAGTTGTTCCGTTGAGAAACAACATTATTGAAATACAAAATAACTCAAATCTGAACCTATACATCGCAATAAATATATATCTTTAAAGTATTTTTTTTAAAGATTTGATATATTTTGTTGGAATAACGGGTTAATTAAAGCATTATGTAGGTATTACAACATAGTTCTTAGAAATATTATTAACAGTTATAGTTAACATTTACAACACAGGAAATCATTTATAGATAATCAAACTGACAAAATTCATAAGACAATATATTAAGTGATCATTAGCCCGAATTGCAACAGTACACTGAGAAGTCCACAAGCTGAATAGTAAATATAATGGAAATAATAATGGTGTCGCTAATTATCAGAAAACAAACAAGTGTGGTAAATATAGTTAGGAAGAAAAATAATTCTAAGAATAAAAGCACGAAGGAATATCGGAACTCAATATGTAAAAATAAAGAATATGTTCATGTATCATTGACAGGGATTTTCTTAGCAACGTTATTCGTCTACAACTATTGACCTTGAGAACCGAATTGAATCCAGTCAGTTTGTCATACAGAATGTCGAGTCTAGCATACATGTAGATCAGTTCAACTGGGCTTGAAACATTACTAGTAACAAATGACATAAAAAGCGTAGTGGTGTTTTTGTTGATGAAAAATACAAGGTACTAAATTGAACTACATGTGAGTTTCAACGAAGTAATCGCTAAAATCTGAAAACACAAGCATACAATAGTAATAAAAATAATAGAACGAATGTTAGAATTGAATGAGATATGAAATGACCTGGTTGAAAAAAAAACAACACAAGTAAGCAAAGTTTAGATGACCACCTATAATATCAGACTGATTTGAAAAAAATTCGTGTATATATTATAGTAGATTATAAAAACCTTTGTTAGTAACAGAACATGTTGATAAGTTAAAAATAGATAAATTGATTTATTTGCATAAAATGCTTATACGTTATATATATATATATATATATATATATATATATATATATATATATATATATATATATATATATATATACATTTTAACACATAAGTATAGGTACAGGGAGGCACCAAATACATATGCGCCACACAAATCTCAATTGATTTGTGTGAGGGCTGTGATACTGCCCGGGTGCCCAAACCGAAGCAGGATACGTTATATATAACGATGAGTTAACTGAGTCTATGGTAATTAAAGATTCTTGGAGAATAACACTGATTAATCTAAACATAAATTCCATGTTTTATACTTATGTATTTATAAATGTTGAGAACGGTTATCCCTCAAAAATTTTGTCTACATATAAGCAACACCTGACAATAATAGTCAATATTTAGAAAGCAAAATGTTAGTAAACGTTTGAAAAATATACACAAACTAACCTTGCATTGTCTTGTTTATCGTATCTTTTCCCGTAGAAGATAGGTTTTTAGCAGGCTAAAAAAGAGATAAACATATACGTTAAAACCTGGCAGCACTGTTGGTTTAACATCGATCGGTTCATGATTTCAATAAAACTCAACTATCTCCGCAACCTTATACTGATATACTTGAAACTTTAGTGCAGTTGGATATATTTGCGTGAAGTCATGGAAAGATACATTTCACGTACACCTTAAAACTGGTACGCATAAAACAAAATTGAACAAACCAACTAACTGAGAACATTTAAATGCACTCTGAAAAACAATAAAAAATAGTTTCCAATCTAAGGTATACAGACTTATGCGAAAGACAACATCCAGACATAAATATATATGATTACAATGACATTGTTACTCAATGAACGACAGTTATAGACAGTCCAAAGTTGATACACATCAGATAATTGTCAACCTCAGGACCATCGTTATGAGAGCAGCTATAAAAACATTTTCACCTGCAACATACACTCTCTAAATTCGAAAGTAAAGTTTCAACAGTAGGCAGTCAAACTATTAACACAGATTTTCAACCAAGAAAGGTACTTAACTTCAACAAAGCATAAACGGAATGTGTATTATGGTTAATCAACATGTGTCAGTTGATGATAAATAACGATTGAGAAATCATTAAAAACTCCTTTAGTGGATATAATACATCATAGGATGAATAGAAAGTTTTCCTTTTTTCATGCAGTCAATAATATTGTCGTGAACAAAGCTCAGGTGGGGAAAATCAATCTATTATTGCATGCAAAATTACATGGTGATTCCGTAAATATGAAAATCATACATTAGATATATAATTTATACATCTTCCTTCAGTTTATCTGTACATACTTCATCAAATTCGGTTGGTGTTACAATTCCTCTATGTTTTCTTCAATTCAATCAGCTCAGTCTTCTGCTGACAGGTATTCCACTGCCGATTGGTGCTACACACCACTAGGCGATATGGCTCAGAATTGATCACAGTGGCGTAGGTGTACACACTTTCTGTCTTCCTTTAAACTAAGAGATTAAAATTGCTGTATACCTTTATTTCTACGAACTAATCCTTTTTTTCCTGTATTATATCCTTATACACAGTCTTTCTTTCATACTTTAGTATCATTGAAGCAACTACTTCTATGAATTTGGTGTTCATCTTTTTGTACTAATGAGGTGTGGCAACCTGGACCGATGCATATATGTGCCTGGTCCTAGGTTGTAGCGGACTGATATACTACTTAATCTGTCAACATAAGTAGCCTATACCACAGTATAACAGAAATCGATGTAAGGTGTCAGTGTGGATAAAACACCATTATCCAAAATAGTAAAAACGAAGTTGATAAGAATTAAGGAAAGAACTATAACGCATTTTCTATTAAATTATAACATAACAAGTGGATTTTATTTCCAAGATAAAGAGTAAAAATAATTAGGTGAGTAGTTGAAAATTGAACAAACTAACTTAACCACTAATTACTCTTCATTCAGTTTTAACACTTTTATTTCGAAATGATTGTTTTCAAATATAGTTTATACTTTGAAAATATTCATATAAAAAATGATGTACAAATGATTCTCTTATGCCTTTTAACTCTCATTTAAACAGTGTACGATCGTTTATCAGGAATCAATTAATTATTTGAGTGTAGACTAAACACTTAATTAATTAATGACAAATATAAACAAAACATGATATGTATTAATCTTGTCAAAAATCTTCACGACTATTTAATCGTTTAGAAATAGAATGTACCATTCAGGTTATTTGAGATATTCCAACTATAAATGGTTCAAACAGATGTAGAAATGTATCAATCATAATAATCAAACAAATAAAAGAGACATTTTTAAGAGAAAGCTAGGATTAGAGAATAAATAATACAAAAATAATTGTGTCTATTAAAGTTCAGATGAAGACCTGTTATAACGAAATACATCTATTTCTAAACAATTAGAATCAATTTATGATATATTAATAATGTCATCTGAAAATGACACCGGACAACAACAGCTTAAATTAACAGTATTTGAAAAAAAACACATTGGCATTATGAATTCGAACAAGTGTAAACAGATTTCACAAACCTTAATATTTTGTTGTTGCAACTGTTGTTGTTGTGGCGGTTGTTTTTGTTTAGTTTTCAATTTAGATGAATTCCATGGATGAACGGGATTAGCCTTTGATATATTACTATGATTGGAATCATCCATTTTCTTTTTATGAGAGGCATTTTGATCAAATTTATTATTAGTTGGCCATGGACGGTAATTACGTGGAGGTCCTTTAGTAACCCATGAAACTTGAACAGGTTTCGAAACTGGCCTAGTTAATTTCGGCTGGGAGATTGACTGATGTTTATCATCACATTTCTCTGGTAGTCTCAGTAACATCGATGGATGCACCAGTGCACAAACAGGGCCTGATCCTCTTAAAATTGATTGAAAAAAATAAAATGTATTATTTATATTTTCCCTTCTAATTAAATGATACATATATTTCAAGAGACAGAGAGAGAAACATTTCTATTTTATCATATCAAGCAAATAGCAATTAAGGATTTATGGTGACTACTACTTCTATTTGCCTACGCATCTCGCCAGAGACTATATTACCACGTATATTAAAACGAATTTACTCCAAAACTAATTGAATATAACTTGTTTAAACCGCATTGCTAGCACTACTGCCTTTAAGGAAAACGTTAGCTAATAATAACAGAGGTACATGTGCATTAGTAAAACATAATTAGATCATTTTACCTCGAAGAGAAAAAAAGAATTTAATTACGAAACGTGACGTATAAACAAATAATTAAGTACACTATAATATCGAAAGAATCATTATTGAAATGATAAACAATAAAGGTAAAGGTCATATTAAAGTGTAGAGTCTAGTGCACATGGCTAAATATAATGTAAAGCAATAAAAATCTATAGTTTTATTGACGTGCTTATTTTATGTGTAATAAAAGCGAGGAAATTATACTCACAGTCTAATTAATAAACAAAAAGAAATTAATCACTTGACACTGTTAAAGTGTCCTTGGATTAAAAAACAAACAACTGTATTTAGTTATGAATCTACCCAGGGAAATTAAAAAAAAGAGATTTAAACACACACCAGTTAGAGTTAAGTTTTTGGAACAGAATATGAATAAGTAGCAGTATCACCTTTTGCAACTGTAATTGTAGATGGAAATAAACAACTTGTAAGTGGTTCATACTTGAATGACGATGAAAAAAACTGAATCTGAAAGAGATACGTCAGTAATGTGGATTTTTGACAAAGAAGAATTGTTGATTAATCTACACTTATTTAATGTCAATGATATTTGAAAAATTATAAACATACGAACTAATTCAACAGTTAGAGACCGACATTAGAAAACTATAGATCATTAGAGAAAAAAGAGACCGGTGATTTTTGCAAAATGTTTTTTTTTCGAAATTTCATCTTAATTTGAAGTAAACGTTAATGATAGCACCAAGAATGACAGTAAAAGTTTCAACTAGAAAAAATATATCTAGCTTAAATAATGAAACATCATCAAATCTACTGTTATCTAGCCTAGGAAATGGAATGATTTTTAGATTGAGGAAGTCATTTATTTTAATTTTACCTATTCCTAGTTAAAATACATACCCATCGACAGACATGTTGGTGATAAATATTTATCAGGACTGCTAGGAAATAGCAAATAGGTAAATCAGTTATTTTATTAGATATATTTATTAAAACAGTTAATCTGCATCTTGTAGATTGGACATCGAACAGCTCAATGTATTCAATATGTATTATATGTCAAAATAATTGTTGATTAGTTTGTAGATTTTATGGCTAGCGCATAAACGACTATGTCTACAACCTTATTTTCTTCCTTGCACTGAGCAATATCAGTTTTGTTCGGTTAAAAAATAGACATATTTTGTTACAGTTAAAACAGGTATAATGAACGAAGACTTAGGTAGGGTAAACCAATTCACTTTATTAAGTAACATCACACACTGTATTTGTAAAAGATGAAAACAATACACTGAAAACACTAATTGCACATCTTCCTAAAATTATCTCTTACAAACTTCACCGTTCTTTCATTCCTGTTGCTACTCCAACTATTTCTGTCTTGCTTGCTCTTCTCACTTTTCTCTACTGTCCGTAAGAATCCTACTCCGTTCCTGGTACATACTACTGATACCTGTCTACATAAGTAGCACACACCATATAACTCAAGTCTTCGTTCATTACACAGGAACCTGATCTGTGGCCCACAAATGCCTTGGTGTGGTAAAAAGTTGGAAGGGTTCGCTCTCTCATGAAATGTTCTAACATGGCCACACGTATACAGCCACTGTCACGGAAGTCCTACTCTTTGCCTTTTCGAGACGGGGTGTTGTTTACAAAATTGGGGGGGACCAAAAGCGACTCTCCGGAGCTTTGACCGGATTGGTGGACACAAGCGGTACACCTAGGGGAGTTGGAAAACCCTGATTCCAAACCAGTGGTACACATTAGCCTGTGGATCCTGTGAGAACAAATTGCGTATGGACCTATTATTGGTCAAAGGCTAACATGAGATTGAATCTCCTAACGTTACTCCACTGCCTTGTGGATTAGACCTTTAGGTCAAAGGTTCCGAGTGTGGCCCCCTATAAAAACCACCTGCTTAAGTTTGGCGCCTTGGCAGTATCACAGCCCTCACACAAATTGACTGATGAAGTGTGGTGCAAATATATTTGAGTTTAAATAATAAGTGACCTGATTTGAGTTACCTAATTTACAAATCGACTAGTTAACTAGTATTGCTTTTTTAGAAATCGTCAATATAATTTCATGAAGCGAATAAATGGAATGATTCAGTTATTTTTTTAACAAGACGCATAATTTACGCCTCAAGTTATTTTTAATCACAAGGTTAGTAAAACGTGGTGTTATTGGAATTCGCAAATCAAAGAATGATAATCAAAGCAACAACAGCTAAGACTAATCTAAATCATAACAGTTATTTATATCACAATTAATACCATGAAAATGGAATGGTTATATCATTATTATTACCACTGTTACTAGTGCTTCCGATGAAATCAGGTATACAGAAAAAATACGAAAATACATATACACACACATTTTGTTTCTTGTGAAACAATCTAAAAAAATCGACCGAATTGCATACACACTTCTAGTGTAGAAATAGATTACATGCATAGTTATGTGTATGAGTTTCAGTCTAATTATTGTAAGCACCTAATATAACAATAGATACGACAAGCTATAAAGTTGTCATAAGACTAATCTTTTGAGGAAAATAAACTAACAGATTAAAACTCATAATAGAATAAAATAACTACTATGTATAGATAACTGATAGAATGATATTTAAATAAATTAGTTAGTATAACGAAGATGAACATGTTGAAGTTTAATTAAAGTACAATCTGGAACCAATATATTTCCATGTACATCAAGAAGAAGCATACTTCCACGATGTGGCAAACCGGAAATTGATAATGGCCTTAACACAAGAGATTACCTCTACAACCAATGATTCATAAATATTGAAATAAACTCAGTTTGCTTTGGTATTTACTAGAACGCAATTTTGCAAGTCAAATATATTAGTTTGATAAGAATAACTAAGAATTTCAACAATTTTATGACGAAATAAAAGTTAACGGAAATCATCCTGTTTATCACTCAACATAAAAAGAATGAAATGATTGAAATAAATAAACAACTTTTTCCAAATAAGTTATGTGACCATAAATTATTTGACAAAAGCATAATACATACTAACCTAATATCTATGGCATCAGTGAATGTTCGGCAAAACATGATCTCCACCAATTGTTCACTCTTTTGAGAGCTTACACCTTATAATCAAGATATAAGAAAATTGAAGTGTGAGGATAAAATTAAGATATATACACAAATCAATAGTATAAAAGTACTTTAATTTAAACTTGTATAGTGTCGACACTTAATGAATTGTTATTAAAGAGTATTGTGCATATTGTTGAATTAAAGGTTCCATATCATGAACCGCCTTTAGTTAGACGATCACGTAGCGATCGATACAGTATATAGTCAGAAATGAATCACACTTCCTGTATAACAGCTTTAAAAAACTGTTGGGGTGATCCAGAAAATTTCTCGCAAAAGACATGCAATGGTCAGGAAACATTAAAAAACATTTCATCCAATCAGCGTTCGCTTGGAGTTTTAGGCAGAAACATCAAGGAAGTGAGACGTCACACGCAGAGGTTCTGATTGGCTGATTGTTATACTGCTACTATGTTTAGTAGCATTCCAGAATCTTCGAGCAACCCAAGGACATTTAAAACATTATGAAAACCCTATGTATTCTGTCTCAAAATGGAACCTTGGACTAAAGTACTTTCGAGTACTTTGCGCCTTTCTCTCTCGTGTTCAGGTGGCTGCATAGTTCTAGCTTTAGGGTTACAAGAATACCTTAAAAACCGAGTATAGCGTTCAAATTACAAGACTTATCAAAAACACAGTACCCTAAATCATATTCGTGACCTAATGTCGAACGCCTATACTGATAAACTACAACTTTAATGAGACTTACTGAACAATTTATGGATATTGCTCATACTTTGTAGGAATCTATCACATACCTGAAAAAAGTATCCAAATCGGAATCTTAAAAGCAATACAAACAATCAAGTAGTATACATAATGTTTAAGTGTTAAGAGATAGCACAAATTCTTCATTCTGTCACGTCAATTTTTAGTAATGCGTATTCTCAGATCTCATAGAGAAAGAGAGCGTTATTTCTAAGATAAGCGAGTTACCACATTCAATATCGATTTTAATCGATTCGTAATATTATGTGATTACTACTCATTACTATTGCTTTGAAATAGTTAATCTTTAGCAGTCACAGCCTATTATTAATACGCAAGGTACCGCGTGTTGTTTTGATTGTTTTCGACGAAGAAAAACGGATAGTGGTGCTGCGAAACATGATTCCCCATTCAATTTTGAATACAATACTTAGGCTAACATTGTGGAATAGTGATAATAATAAAAAGCCAAATACGAATTGTTCGGAAAGAATTTTTTCAGGCATTTACATTCAACCAGGAAAATGCAAAAATGAAAAGGTGATGCCTAGAGATCGGTTTTATGCCGCTTCCAAATAAATAAGTTTATGCCTCAGCTTACATATGAAAATAGACAAAGAGTAATATAGGCGGAAATAAACAAACATACGTATAAAAAGTGCACAGAGGTGTAAGGTAAGGACTAATTAAATATGATTATGAACAATGTAGTCAATAACGTCAAAGTTACAGCCGCACGGGTAAGAAGTACCCACAAAATGGTTTGTATTAATCTATCATACGACTCTAACTCCGCCTGTAGCTCTTCCAGAGTTACTGCCGGTCCCAAGCCCGGGTAAAGGAGGAGGGTTGGGCATGGGGTTAGCGTCCCCATCCCGTAGAAACCTAACTCGCTAAAAAAACGCTAACCAGAAAAAATAACTCAAACCATTTAAACCCTGCCCTGGGAGTTATAGGTAATATGACGCTTCATGGTGAAAGCCGAGTTCCTTCGGAAGCCACGAGGCCGATGCCCCTTCTAACAACCAGAGCAACAATTTTTATAGGTACATGGAACGTCCGTACAATGTGGGAGACCGGGAAGACCAGTCAAATAGCAACGGAAATGAGGAGATACAACTTGGCAGTACTGGGAATCAATGAAACCCATTGGACCCAAGCTGGACAACAAAGGCTAAATACGGGAGAGATGCTGCTATACTCCGGTCACGAAGAGGAAAATGCTCCACACACTCAGGGAGTTGCTCTAATGCTATCCAAAGTAGCACGAAATGCACTTGTAGGATGGGAATCTCACGGATCCAGAATCATCAAAGCATCATTCAAAACAAAGAAGGAGGGGATCACAATGAACATTATCCAATGTTATGCACCTACCAATGATAGCAACGACGACGTTAAGGATCAATTCTATGAGAGGCTGCAATCAATCATAGAGAAGTGCCCAAGAAAGGACCTCACCATTCTGATGGGAGATCTAAACGCCAAAGTCGGAATGGACAACACCGGATATGAAGACAACATGGGACTGCATGGACTGGGAGAGAGAAACGAAAACGGGGAAAGATTTGCAAATCTGTGTGCATTCAATAAATTGGTCATAGGCGGTACAACATTTCCACACAAACGTATACACAAAGCTACGTGGATCTCACCGGACCACACCACAGAGAACCAGATAGATCACATTTGCATCAATAAAAAGTTCCGAAGGACAATGGAAGATGTGAAAACCAGGAGAGGAGCGGACATAGCTTCAGATCATCACCTGGTTGTGGCCAAATTGAAACTGAAGCTAAAGAAGAACTGGACAACTGGACAAACAGCACCACAAAGGTTCAATACAGCCTTCCTTCGAGATACTGACAAACTCAATGAATTCAAGGTAGCTCTCAACAACAGGTTCCAAGCCTTACAGGATCTACTGAAGGAAGAAGAAACTACTATGGAGGATAGCTGGAAAGGTATCAAAGAAACATTAACTTCAACGTGTCAAGAGGTTCTGGGCCCCAAGAAGCATCATCACAAGGAATGGATCTCTACAGAAACACTGGACAGGATCAAAGAAAGAAAGAACAAGAAGACAGCAATTAACAACAGTCGAACAAGAGCAGAGAAAGTCCAAGCACAAGCAGAGTACATAGAAGCAAACAAGAAAGTGAAGAAGAGCATTAGAGCTGACAAGCAAAAATACGTGGAAGAACTAGCAACGACGGCGGAAAAAGCTGCAAGAGAAGGAAATATGAGACAGCTTTACGATACGACGAAGAAGCTTGCAGGGAAATACAGTAAACCAGAGAGACCAATCAAAGACAAAGAAGGAAGACCAATCACTGAGATGCAACAACAGAGCAAGTGTTTGGGCAGAGTACTTCGAGGAACTCCTGAACAGGCCGGCTCCAATGAATCCACCGGACATCGAAGCAGCACACACAGATCTTCCTATAAATGTCAATCCACCAACGACAGAAGAAATCAGGATGGCCATCAGACAAATCAAGAGCGGGAAATCAGCAGGATCCGATAATATACCAACTGAAGCACTGAGGTCAGACATCGAAGTAACTACAAGAATGCTTCATCTTCTATTCAAGAAGATTTGGGAGGAGGAACAAGTGCCGATGGATTGGAAAGAAGGACACCTCATCAAGATTCCAAAGAAAGGAGATCTGAGCAAGTGTGAAAACTACAGAGGCATTACACTACTGTCAATACCGGGTAAAGTCTTCAACAGAGTGTTACTGAACAGGATGAAAGACGCAGTTGACGCTCAACTTCGAGATCAACAAGCTGGATTCCGTAAGGACCGGTCGTGCACAGACCAGATTGCGACACTACGGATCATCGTCGAACAATCAATTGAGTGGAAATCGTCACTCTACATCAACTTCATTGATTATGAGAAGGCATTTGACAGTGTAGATAGGAGGACGTTATGGAAACTTCTTCGACACTACGGAGTTCCTGAGAAGATTGTCAACATTATCCGGAACTCATACGACGGACTACAGTGCAAAGTAGTGCATGGAGGACAGCTGACAGACGCATTCCAAGTAAGGACCGGAGTAAGACAAGGCTGTCTACTCTCTCCCTTCCTGTTTCTTCTGGTGGTCGACTGGATTATGAAGACCTCGACATCTGAGGGAAACTACGGCATACGATGGACAGCTCAGAACCAATTAGACGACTTGGACTTCGCAGATGACCTAGCCCTCCTATCACATACACACGAACAAATGAAGATAAAGACAGCCAGCATAGCAGCAGTCTCTGCATCAGTAGGCCTCAACATACACAAAAGGAAAACCAAGGTCCTCAAACACAACACGGAGAACAGCAATCCAATCACTCTTGATGGCGAAACTCTGGAAGACGTGGAATCCTTCACATACCTGGGAAGCATCGTCGATAAACAAGGAGGTTCAAATGCAGACGTCAAGGCGAGGATTGGCAAAGCTAGAGCGGCATTCCTTCAACTGAAGAACATATGGAACTCAAAACAACTTTCAACCAATATCAAAGTCAGAATCTTCAATACGAGCGTCAAGGCAGTTCTACTGTACGGAGCTGAAACTTGGAGAACTACAACAAGCACCATCAAGAAGGTACAGGTATTTATTAATAGCTGTCTACGCATGATACTCAACATCCATTGGCTGGATACCATCAGCAACAGCCTTTTGTGGGAGAGAACCAACCAGCTTCCAGCTGAGGAGGAAATTAGGAAAAGACGATGGAAATGGATAGGACATACATTGAGGAAATCATCAAACTGCATTACGAGGCAAGCGCTAACTTGGAATCCTGAAGGGAAGCGGAAAAGAGGAAGGCCAAAGAACACATTACGTCGGGAAATAGAAGCAGATATGAAAAAGATGATTAAGAACTGGAAAGAGCTTGAAAGGATTGCCCAGGACAGGGTTGGATGGAGAATGCTGGTGAGCGGCCTATGCTCCTTCACGAGGAGTAACAGGCGTAAGTAAGTAAGTAAGTATCATACGACTCTAACTTTACGTATTTGTATTTCAGGTGTGTTGGGTCACAATATGGGATACGATTATTTCATATGGTATCCTTGAATGAGTCGTTGGTGCAGACTGCTGAGAAATTCCACTCTAGGAAGAAACAGCTGTACAGTTTTCCAAGATTTTCAATAGTTGTCAGTCTGAAGTTAGTCTATGACGAAAACTATTACATATATATAATGCTCAGCAATAAGAGTAAGTTATAAATCAGTTATTCACAGATGGTATAACATTAATCAGTGTTTGTATCTATTTATTACTTACCAGATGGTACACCAATAACAATCCCATGTAATCCCAATGGAATATTTTGTCCTATCCCAATATAAACAACTTTATCCAATAATGTGAATGAACTAAACACTGACGAGTAATTTGATGAATAATAACAACGATCGAGTGGTGATAAATTATAAGATGATGGATATATTCTTGTATCTGAATTCACTGACTAGACAAGTTAATAATAAGTAAGAAAAAACATTTACAGTGAATAAAATAAATTAAACCACTAAAGAAAACATTACATGTATTGCTTTATATTATTAATAAGCATATAATACGAAATAATTAGTGGAACTTTTAATCTAATAACGTTGTTTACCGAACAAGATACAACCACAAAAATATCAATATCAATGTTAGAAAGATGATTCAGTGAAAAGAATCAAAATATTTGGATTGTGATGTAGTTGGGTGACATTCAGTCATTTACATACTGAATTTAGGTTCTTATTTTAACTAATTACTGAGTAAATTGACCAAGCATTTAGGCAAAATGTTAAATGAAAGATAATGGCTAAATTAAATAGAGTATTATTCTAAAAGTAAAAGTTATTATAATATTACATAGGTGTACATAATGAGTCCCGCTTACAACTAATAATTCCGTGTAAAATACATACATATATAGCAGAGAGTTGACAGATAGCTATTGGAAGAATGAATAGAAAATCAAGAAAAAAACTCACAACAAACAAAGTTGTCGGTGGACAATTTACTGGAGATTTTTTATTCCAAATCTGACGATCAAACGGTTTATATACAGTTTCATCCATATCTTTAAGATATAATGATGTTAATTTTTGCAACCATTCCTTATCTAAGTAGATACCTTTCTGTGGTAAAACTGGAGCATTTCTACATTCAGAATTAGCAATAAATTCCATAATCTCGTCAACTTCTTTCCTAGCGAAACAAAAATATATGGCATTTTGAAGTGATATGACAACAAATGGGATGGGAAAACACAAAAACAATTACTAAAAATTTTTTTACTTCAATTTTGGAAAAATAAATGAATTTCATTAGTTGTCTTCTTTTTACGACACTATAATATCAAAAAGATATATTATTGAATAGAGTTCAGTTATACAATAAACTACATTTAAATTATTTTTAATAGTTGAGATCATGAGTCAAGCTTCAATTGACTCATGATCTCAACTATTGAAATTACTATAATATCCACAAAAACACCTTCTGATATTATTTTTTAATATACCAATTATTTACCACGAACTTATAGATTACTTACGATGAATTATTTAGTGAAATATTTTTTGAACAAGCTGAACATGAAGTGAATCATTAAGCTATTTATATGATAATTACACAAAACGGGATCAAACTAGGCAAACGAGAATAAAAAGAACAATAAGAATAATAAGTAAAGAGATATTGATTGTATTGCACGCTTGTTATGAAAATTAAAATTATCATCACAATACAATGAATTTAAAATCGTTTTTACCGTTACATCTACAACTAATATCACCAATCATACTACACCGTTCACTACTCCCATGAAACACTACAAATTCTGATCATAATCTTTGATACGTTTGTATTATATTGTTAAGTAAAAGAAAGAGAATGAACGCTTACAATCTACTCTTACTGGATTATTGAGATGATTATCGATAAACCAAAGCGCCAGTATCTTACATCTTAAACTCATCACTTTGTTGTTCAGTAATGTTGAAGTATGTGATGTAAGACTATGAATAAGTAATGTGTAGCAACATTTAAAATGTGAGAGTAGATGACATTATCTGTATACGTAAACTACTGAATGTGAAGCGGATATGAAGACACAAGAATTAAATATGAATAGTAGAATTTCCAGGCAAAACTACTGTTCAGTGATGTATGTCAGGCATGGAGGCATTTAAAAGATAACTTTCATAACCTCCGAAGTATACTTAAGTGCAACTTGAAACTGGTTGGAGCTTAAAGATACGGCAAAATATAGTGCAACCGGATTTGCTCCTGTTTCAATTATTATTATTATTATTTTAACACATAAGTATAGGTACAGGGAGGCATCAAATACATATGCGCCACACAAATCTCAATTGATGTTTGTGAGGGCTGTGATATTGCCCGGGTGCCCAAACCGAAACAGGTGGTTTTCTTAGGGGGCCACACCCCGAGCCTTTGACCTGAACGTCTGACCCACAAAGCAGTGGAGCATCGTGAGGAGATGCAGTCCCATGGTAGCCGGTGACCAACGATTGGTTCATACGCCATTTGTTCCTTCAGGATACTGGAGCCCATGTGCACCATTGGTTTGGGGTCCGGTTATAGCGCCGGACATTCGCTTTTCGTCCTCTCATTTTCGTAAACAACACCCGTGGTGCGAGAAGGCAGTGAGTAGGACTTCCCTGGCAGAGGCTATATACGCATGGCCATGTGAGAGCATTTCGAGAGGGAGAGCGGACTCTCCCCACTCTCGGCCGTACCAGGGCATTTGGGGGTGCTCCTGTTTCAAAATGGCATCTAGTGAATACGATCGACAATAAAGCGTAACAAATGTCCTTTTGTATCTCAGTGTTTAGTTAGTGAAGTACCTTAGTGAATAATTAATCAGTCCTTTTCCTGTTTATTGGTAAATAGATCATTTGAGCACTACAATACTGACTAGATGCTGTTCGATTTGGAAATATGATATATAAAGCAATTTATGTGGAAAAAGAATTTGTCACCTAATGGCTTTAGATGGAAAGATTTAAAGAAAACAGGACTAATGAATAGTTAACGTGTTTAAAAATTATGCACATGATAAAACCTGATACAAAAACACTTACGAATCAAGTTTTATGCATGCATTATTTTTTGTAGATGAATCTGACGACTTTAAAACTTTTTCCCAAACACGTGGAAATTTCTCACTGAATTTCTTGAGTAAATCAACAGTTCTATTAGAAAATAACCATGTATGACGAACAGTACAAAAACGTGACCAACCTAAAACCTGAAATAAGATTAACACACTGAAAATCAATGCATATAAACATAATGGTAAAGTGATATAACGTTATAAAAGACTATGTTACTATACATCCTTTTATTTTGTATTCAGTGAAAACATAAAGCAAACTATTTTTGTCCCATTTGAAGCTTTGTCATTGTACTATCTTCGTTTATATTGTGTGAGGAATCTCTGGAAGTCAGCAGATATCAAGTTCAGATCATTAATAATAATCCAGACGAAAATTAGAGGTCAAGAAGTAAAAAAGATCATATGTGTTAAATGTTTTCGTTCATATAAGACAACAGATATCCAGAAAATTATTATAGAATTCAGCGAAACTCATAATTCAGCTCGGAAAGGCTTTTCGTTCACAAACAACTCTCGGAATATTATACGTTGTTTTTACATTCTCCACGACCTGGACGTGATTGTATAGACCAGATATTCACACTACGTCAGGTCCTAGAACGTAGACACACATTCAGATGTCCCACAATAGTAGTATTTCCCAACCTTAAAGTTTCACTCGACTCTTGATCGTGAGGTTCTATGGCAGTGTGTGTCACTGAAAGGAGTACCAAAGAAGTACATCAACCTTGTTAAGGCTATCTACTCGAATACAACTGGTCGAGTGAGAGCTTATGGCGAACTGTCATCAGAATTGATTACCTCAAGTGGTGTTCATTAGGGCTGTCCACTTTCTCCATTCTTGTTTAACTTTGTCATTGACGTAATTTTGGAGATGATAGTTTCCTCATCTAAATTTCCAGGAGTTGGACTTTCATCGGGAGATTCACTTGTTGACTTGGAATGTGCCTTCTTGTGGCGGTGGTGTTGTTTACGAAAATGAGAGGACAAAAAGCGAAAGTCCGGCGCTTTAACCGGATTTCAAACCAATGGTGCTCATAGACAAAATGCAGAGTCTACTGACCACTGTAAGCAACAATGCAAGCATTTTCAGTATGCGATTCTCCTCGTCGAAATGCAACCAGTGACTTCAGGATTGGGTTGCATCGACACCCGAATTTATGATAGAGAGTGGAGTAGTTGAGAGTGTCGACTGCTTCACTTATCTTGGGAGTCTCATCAGCCCTTGTGGTCTGGTGTGCGTCGAAATCTCAGCACGAATATATATATATATATATATATATATATATATATATATATATATATATATATATATGCGCACGAAAGGCTAACTACTGACAAAGACCTATGTTAATGAACACTTTACAGTTATTGAATGACAATTCGAAATAAGTTCAGCGAGACGAAGGAATATTCTGCATAATTGGAATGTAATTTACACAAGAAGTTGTAAAACAAGAATACGCAGTAAGAAAAGGAGGCGAGATAGAAAGTGTTCATCATTAAAATGTAGATGACGTAATATCGACTATTAAAATGACAAGTGATTCAAACATCAACTGACAATGATGAAAAGAGGGTAAGAACTGTGGTACAAAAATAACATTAGTTAAGACTACAAAATTTATAAGTGTCCACAAACTAATCTATTGTATGATAATGAGCTAAGAATCTATACTTTCCAATGAGTGAAAAACAAAATAAAAGTATTTTAAAAACGTTTCATTGTTTATTGATAACAACTTTATCGAAATACTAGTAAACCAGAGATTTATGAAAATCTAAGCTGATATAAAGTAGTTCGATGAAATTTCTTTTATATGAAATATTTCTGCGTTGTCGAATGAATTGATAAAGACAGAAGACAGCTGGAGATTATTAGGTTCAATCAATTTATTTATTTGAACACATAAATATTGGTACAAGAGGGAACCAAATATATATGCGCCATGTGCATGAATCATAAAACGTATGCACTTATATGATGAAAAATTCTTGACACGTGTTGTATGTATAGCGCAAATAGACCACATTTTTCAGACCAACTCCGTCTTCTTATTGTTCTCTCAACATTTATGTTGATCAAACTAGTTAGTGAGAGGATAATGTTGGTACCAGGTTAAAATTTTGTCTTATCCCCTTGTTCCTATTCAGACAATTTAGACTCCATTCAAAGTGATATGCTTTACCTTCGAGACATTCTTATGTTTGTGAGATGTGTGGAATGACGATGAATGTGGTTCATGTTTTTGAAGTACTATTTCCGTCACGTTTAAAGTTATTTTTAAATTTGTAGATATTTTTAGGATAGTTATTTGTTTTAAGCCTTCCGGATATTTTCGTCAATTTTACTTTTCTTTTTCGTTTCTTATCAATGTGTGTGCTCTTCCTAAAACACTTGAAACAACTTATATCCTTAAGTTGATGAGGTGCTAAGATTCAAAATCAAAATATTTGTTTGAGTATGTTTTCATCCTAAAGTCATATTAAAATATCTATTTTCTTTTCATCTAACTAAGTGATCAAGAAATGGGGATTCACCATTCTCAGATTCAAGCTTTTGGAAACCGAAACATGAATAAAGAAATATTTTAACTGATAGATCATATGGCTTATTGAATTGATCTACTATTATATAGATGAACTGTTTTTACGGTGTACGCAAGCAAATAAGGGTTTGCAATATTAGCAGAGGAGCTTAGACCATTGACTACAGATACATGGGGAAGGAATCGATTTGATATAAGTGATATCTAATGAAGTTTACCTAAAATAGCATTTAAACAAACAGAACAATCAATTAAGAAACGACAACAAAGACAATGTCATGTTGTTTTGTTACTCAAATTATCACAAAAATAATAGGACTCTTGTTTAACGATGCGTCTATGGGAGTATCTGACAAGCTGCGTAAAGGAGATACCTTTAGTCGGAATCGTTACGTATCATGATTGTATAGTAATTCGGATGTAAATGTATATAGGTGGTAATAAATAACTACACTTTCATTTTGTCGTAATTCATCGCATACTTGCACACAAACTGTAGTTACTGTTAACCTGAGAATAGAATATTCTACTCATTCTACGGTCTCCCCTTAATATATGAGAATAAGGAAATCACTAGCTACATCGGATCACACACTGAATGAGTAATGTTAAACAGTAGTTGGTAACAGACCACATTGTGAATGAATACTGTCATGTAAAAAAAATTTGATTTGGGAACATACTAGTGATAGAACCTATTTGTAGGCTAATAATAAAAATAAAAAACACTTGGATCAAGTTTCAAAATCAGATAACTACCCGAATATTTAAACAAAAAACATATACAAATGATTGAAAGAAATGACCGGACAGTGAACAATCAATTATCTAAGTACTTAAGTTTAAATTTGACAATGTTAACACAGTATTCACAAAAAATATTTTATCAGTAAGATGTACGAACTAAATAAGAACGGTACACCACGCAAATTTCTAATTAAAAAATAGAGCACACTCAAAGAAAAATATTACCTGAGCACCAGAACGATTCCGTTTTAGGTTTAAACCAATATTAGCAAATGATTTCTGTCCACACTTTTTCTTTTCCATATTATTTTCTGCATTGTCATCAGTTGATGTTTCAGGGTATTGATTACGTTTATCAACAATGTCATCATTATCTCCAAATGATGAACGAGATTCAGAAGTAATTTGAACCATCAAACTGCCAGTAAACCGATTCACTACAAATACTGGGACACTTAATTGATCTGCAACCATGATATTTGTATAAAAATTATCATGTTCCCATTCCTAAATATTAATGCAAAATTTATGAAAATAATTGTTTACTTATATAAAAGACTTTCTATTAAAATAGTTTGTTTGGCTGACAAATCAACACTTTTTACAGGAAAAAAACTAAATGACACAATCCTGAGTACTAAAAGAAGCCTGAAATTCAGCAAAGCTGAATTTCTTCCGTAGAAACAATTAGCAAATATAATCAACTTTGATGTCATAACAATTACATTAGATGTCAGATAGGTTATAAATGTTTTATACAATGAAATAATGAGCCAATCAACGTTAAATCATCATAAAAAACCAGGAAGCACTGTACGGCTGTTTCGTCGCAGTATGAGAATCCTCAGCAGCACGTTTCTATGACCCAGCGCACGAACGTCTAACCTTTAAACCACTGAGATGGTGACCGACAGGGTTACTTTTTTTCCACTTTAAAATATACATGAAGAAAACTACTAATACATATTGTTGATTACAGAAGGAACTATCATTTAGAAGATTCTCTCCTGAAACCAAACTTTAATTGGTCAGTTGTCAACACAAAACCTAGCATGAGAACGTATCGATCCAAGTTATCACACTGCATATCACTGCAAGAAGAGAAATTAGCACAAGGATAGAGTAACAAAAATGGCAACTGTAATGGAGATTTGAAAACAAAACACAATAAATAAGAAACAAACGAGAACCTAATCAAGCAAAAGTTTGTAACTAAAAGTACCAAACAATACAGTACATGTGTCAGTGAACAATAAAAATCTTGAAACCATTTTTTTATTTGAATAAACTATATAAACATGATAGCTATATACTCTGCATCACAATACGGAAACTGATAGATTGTTTAAATACAAAGAGAGATTAAACTATACGGACGATTACAAAACCTTTAACCTGAATACTCGTGAGTGTAGATTTGAGATTTAACAAAATGACATTTCACATTACGTCGGTTGCAAGATGATGGAAGACAATCAAGAGGAAATTGTATTTTTGAAAATCTCAGCGATTGAAAATAAAATAAATTTAACTCTTCCTTCATGTTCTTCAAGGGGAAATATTTTAACATCAAAGCTATTGAATATTACATCGTTCACAAGATAACTATGCTGCCCCCAAATGCCCTGGTATGGCCGTGAGCGGGGAGGGTTCGCCCTCCCTCTCGAAATACTCTCACACGGCCACGCGTACACAGCTTCTGCCAGGGAAGTCCTACTCACTGCCTTCTCGCACCACGGGTGTTGTTTACGAAAATGAGAGGACGAAAAGCGAACGTCCGGCGCTATAACCGGATCCCAATTCTATGGTGCACATAGGCTCCAGTATCCTGCGGGAACAAATGGCGTATGAACCAACTTTTGGTCACCGGCTTCCATGGGACTGCATCTCCTCACGATGCTGCACTGCCTTGTGGACTAGACCTTTAGGTCAAAGGCTCGGGGTGTGGACCCCTAAGAAAACCACCTGCTTCGGTCTGGGCGCCCGGGCAGTAGCTTAGCCCACACACTAAAACTATGAGTGTGGCGCATATATATTTGGTGCCCCCCTGTACCAATATTTATGTGTTTAAATAAATAAAATAAATAAATAAATAAATCTAATTATGCTATTAATGCTGAATACGAACCTTTTATAGTGTAGGCACTAGTCATTTGATGCAAAATGTAAGGAAATTATGTTAGGATAAGAAGTAGATCTAATATCAGGAAAAATCATTGACTATATATGGGCCTTAATGTTTTGATCGTTGATGAAATCAGACATTGTCATGGATTAATAACTCAAACTTGTTACAGGATGAATAGAATAAGAACAAACGGTATGAGAAACAGGTGTTAAATACATTAATGAGGTCATTCCTACTAGCTTAGAGACAAATTGCGATAGATTAAATTGAAGAAGCTCATTCTGAGAATTTGTAACTTGAAATAATGTTGAAAAATACAATCTGATTAAAAGCCATACAAATTTTTAAGTGGTGGGTTACTAAATGAATAACAACCGCTTCTTAACTGTGCAACAAACGTGGAATAAGTACAAAAGGATAACATGATACGTTACATTTAAGTTCTCGATTAATAAAAACGTCAACTAATCATGTTAAGAATTAAAAGAATCAGATTAACTGACTTTATATTAAAATTAAATTAGCAAAAAGACATTTTCAGAAAAGTGAAAAAGTTCTAAGTTTAGTTTTTGTGATCACAACTGGTTGTTATGCAAAGATAATATAAGTAGTGACTTCATCTACAAGATAATAGCTTTCTTATATAATTAAAGTTATACTTACTTCAACCTGACTACAAAATTCCGTTAAGTCAGTTGATGACGAGACATCAGGATAGAAACGTACCATAACTTTACCTTTCTTTTGATCAACTCCAATAATCTAAAAATATGGAACATGAAGAAAACATGAAACAGTAGAGAGAATAAAGAACTTTGTCAGATTAATAGATTAGTGTAAAATAAGGTTTTAGGGAGATTAATTCAAATTTATGCATTATATTTGTCAAAGATATTTGCACATTCGTCACGAGATATGAAGATTGTGGTCCCGATCCTTGGGGAGATCGTGGATGTACGCTTCTTTGGGGTATCATACATGAACGGAATAACAGTTCTTGATTTTCAATGACACCCAAGTTGAATTTAGTCTGAGATGAACAAAACTAACATATAGTGGATTATACGTCTACAGGATCAATATCTTTAATATCTTAACAATTAATGTGATGATTAAATGAAATGTGAATAACCAAATAACACCTCAGTAGTAACAGAGGATTTATTCGTGAGAGCTATTTCACGTATAGTCTAACATCCTAAGAATAACAGCAACTCCGAAAATTAAAATTTCTTAGAAATCCAACAATAATACAAAGCCAATAAGAACGGAAATGTTCAATGAACTCTTGTTGGATTCACTACCTTAGATACAATAGAAGTATTACACAATATAACAAAAGTAAAATTTACACATAATTCATCACTTATTGTAAACATAATAAACTATATTTGTAGTGGTTATATCAACTTGTGTCATAATGGATATATCGAGGCAATGAGCACAGGATACTTACATACCAACCAAAACAGATCGAATTCCAGTCAAAATATCAACATCGGAATAATCCAAACCATTTCAAAGTGAATTAAAATAAAGTATACTTAAACCTATATTATTTATTGTTTGCTATTAATAAAAAAGAGCACATTGACCAGGATTTTAAAAATGTTCTGATTTAGTGTGTTATGGCGTATTATAGAAAGTAAACAACATACTGACAAATATTCATAAACTGCTCTAGTTTATTTATAATAAATAACAAAATTATGATATAAAAGCTACATAAAATTGTATAAAACTAGTAATAACTCACTTCACCCACTGATCCATAACTTTCTTTGGCTAAACTAAACACTATTTTACCAGGATGAAATATTGTATGGAGTGAAATTGTTTTATTATAACCCCAGTCAACTTCAACACAACCAATTGACGGTGGTGGAGGTATACCAGGTAATAGGACATCTAATAAGTCTAGATTCAAACCATCCGATAGACCATAAGCAGGTTCTATACTCAATGAAGGTTTTTCGACAAGTGTTTTTTGTTTTTTATCTCGCTTCCCGGATAAGTCAATCATATTTTCTGATTGAATAAATGAAGATGCAAATGGAGCACTAGACATTTCTAAATCATCACCATTTTGAGCACGCGAACGAACAAAATTCGGTATAAGAGTAAAACGATCCGAATCATTTGCACGTACAGGCACTACAGACCAACCATCTAATGGACGAGAAAAAACTAGAACTGACGATGGTATCAAACTCACATGAGCATCTAGCTCATCACTATCGTTATTATCACTTTTGTCACCAAACAAAATTGCTCGACGTTTTTCAAAATGGTGTTTTAAACTTGACAGTTGACTATTTATCCAATCCAATTCATGATTATTATCTTCAGACGATAAAAGTGGACGATAGCGCAGAGATTCGGTGGACAAATCGCTTGAAGATTTAATTATCGGTTCTACATTAAAATCCACTAGTTCCCAGCTAATTTTTAAAAAAATTCAAGATAAATACATTTCAGTGGAAATAAGTTTTTACAATTCACATATACTAATAACAACAAAGAATACAATACATATGATTATAAGTTGAGATTTTAGTAAACTCGTTAGATTATATAGCAAACAAAAAAGAATGAGAATTGAAGATGGAAGATACTAAAGGAAAAGAAATTCATTTACCGATATGTATGGTTTACATGCCAGACCCAGCAATATAACGTTCTGGCTAGGTCATATTGATCATTATACCTAACAAAGACAGATGCATCATTCAACATTATTGATCAGTTGGTAAAAATGTAGACACTTGACGGTTTCCACATGAATGTTATTAATGCAGGTAGAAAAGTAACCGAAATCATCGGTAGATATGATAAAAAACTATTTTGAAGCCGACTACTTAGCACCACTAAATTTTATCGAATTTCTTAAATTGTTCCATTTGTTTCGATGAACTGGTCAAATCATCAAATAAATATGTTGCAGATATTTTTGAAACTACTTCAAAAACGTCTATATTAATCAAACTGAAAACCGTTATAACGACAAATCCAAACGGTGAAAAAAAATGGAACGAAGTAATGACAATAGTCTATCTTTAAGTACGATTCAAAAGAAAAACAGAAACCACACGAAGAGAAAGAAGAATTAATGAACACTGTTTAACAGCCTTCCACAATTGTCAGCCAGTACCTACCTCACACTCGACACGATTGAGCAACACTGGTCATGGTGTGGTGAATACTACTTATGCTGATAGATATAAGTAGCATGTAGCAGCAATTGGTAGTGGAATGCCCGCCAGAAGATTGAATCAAAGAAAACACGGAGGGGAAAAGAGAGTTAGAACTCACTAGGGACTTGCTTTACAAAGAATTTTCCAGAGTTTTAGTGAGCAGTCTTGACCAGTGGTGTCCGACAATGCCGGATGTGAAAACGTCCATTAACGTATATATATATATATATATATATATTGCAAAAATTTTTTAAGTGATTCAGAAAAATAATGCTTAGACTGATAATAAAAGCATACAATCGTGTATCAATATACACATGAAAGTATACAGAAATTATTGAGCTAGAATAACAATCTCTGAACGCCAAAAAAGAAATTAGTTCCAAGGTCTGCTAATTTCGAACATGTACCAACTCCATTTAAAATCGGTCTTACAACTCCAATATGACGTCGATAACGTCTCACACAAACTATCTACTCAAGTCAAACTTTCGAGTTGCTGACTTACTCGCCTACAAGAAATAAACACCACATAAACAGATTAATGAGCAGTTCTGAAAACTACAGTTTCGTCATATAAAAAGTCAAATTTTACAAGAACTAACGAAATTCAATGTAAAATTGACTAGGATTATAATTATATTAATGTGAAAGTGTATATTGCACATTCTTACATTTCGCTAGTGCTCATCAATCGAACAGGCATCACTGTAGCACAGAATGGCCAACGAACACGAATAGGACGCCCAAGAATACTTTCAGCTAACTGACCAAGGCTATCATATTTTGAAAATTCTGGATGAGGTTTCATTGTTAACGCCATACTATCTAATTTACTAGGGCGTTCAAAAACCTAGTTTTAATACACAGAAATAATAAACAAAATGCTAATTTGTATGAGATCAAATGGAAACATGTAATTAAATCACGAGCTTCAGACGTTTATTGTTTTTTTCACAGGTACGTTTCAATAAGTACGATGATTTATGTAACAAGGCTTGTTTCAGACCAGACCCACAGAACAATCGGTAAACTCATAAGCATTTTAGAACTCCAGTATACATTTATTCAACCAGCAACGTGATGCAAATTCTACTGATAAAACACTTATTCAAAGAACGTCAACATTTAATATCAGTCAGACAATGGCAGAAACTGACTCGTAGTACATATGTACTTGATTATGTATTTAGAGATTTTCCGCTGAATATAAATCGATCCACACGGTATTGGTATTCGACTATGGAGTAGTGAAGGATTCACAAATCAAACTACAAGACTAAATAACAAAACCACCAAGCTGCCCAAAATAACACAAACACCAAACTAGAAACAGTTTTTACCGAAAAATGATGGTGATTACTTGTTCTAAAACAAATAAGAATATGGGTGTATCGATCAAATTCCCACACACCTTAAGGTGTCATTTCCCTTCGTCGAACAACGGATTTCTGGCACAGTGATTATAAGGTGGATTGAAATGAGGGCTCTTAGACAGAACAGTATTAGGTTAGGGCGAATGGTAGACAGTTAAAAGAGTTAGTAACTGCAAATGATGTTTGTCAGAACTGCCTATTTTGCGCATTCCGATTAAGCTTCCTCACATATATCCTAAAAGAAACCAAATTTCTTCAACCAACTGCGCAGGGATTGATTTCCTTACTCGAAAACTCAATCATCGACATGGAGTGCACAGCTGACAATCAAATATGATGAAGAGGCTGACAAAAAACATAACCTTCTCAACGCTTTGAGCAAAAATGCAATCATATTTGGGATACGTTTCTCTCCTTCTAGAATGCAGGATGTTGATTGACAAATGGTCTGTGTCATCATCAAGACTGATCTTGAGGAGTACAGTAGTTGTATGTGGAAAACACTTATCTTAGAAGGCTCGTAAATACCAGTGGATTGATGTCTGATAAATCCTTAACACTTATTCAGGAAGCTCACCTACTTTTGGCCAGCTTGTGAAGTAGATGAAATGATAATCCATTATAGAATGAGTGATAACGGTTACTCAAATAATAATAATGATAATAATAATAATCCAAATAGATCTTTAAAAATACTTCTGATGTGACTAACTTTCGTTGTTACAGTATATATATATATATATATATATATATATATATATATATATATGCTAGTAAAATATCTTACATGAACCGGTATTCTTTGAATTTTATGAGTAAACGGTAGTCTCGACAAACTTGGAAAATCATCAACAACAGATCTAGTGATTGAAGCATAAAACTGACTTAATTCTGATTCACCACAATTAACAGATTTACGATAAAAATCATAATTAATTAATTCTACGGGAGATTTTACACGTCCAATTGGACAAGCACGATAAAACAAATGAGATTTATGTTGGTTGCGTTGTTTTTCTTGTTCAGTTAGTTTAGTGTTTCCATCCTTCATTGCATTTATGAGAAGTTGCTGATCCAAAAACGGAATTAACTGTGAATATACGTAAAGAACAACAAAATAGGTTAAATTATGAAATAAATTATTAGTATAAAATATAAAACTAAGACAAGTTAACAAATGAACTGGGAACTTGTTCATATGATATGAAACTATGAATGCTTGGTAGCTTGACTAAGAAATTCACAAACAAAACCATGGGACAACTTATCTAGATATTGGTGCATACTGAAGCCAAATGAAGGGTTTCCATTCCCAAAAACTCATGAACGACCAACGATTAAAGCAAAAATGAATTAAAAATTCATATTTATGCGAAGGGTGAGTGGCTTTTCTGCATGCTTGCGTACACTTGCTTCACCTGGAATGGGTTATAGATATATCTGTTCAATCTAATCAACGGGTTTACAATGTACACAATACAGTTTTAGGAACAATTAGATTAGTACGGAACTGCAGACCAAAGCCATCAAGTGACGAAAAAAACAAATGCAAACTATTGCAAATTGTTTGATTGATAGTTCAGTTTTGCTGGCATTTATTAGTTACTAATTTATCAAACTTATCAGTCTATTGCTATCGTTCATTGAATGGGATTTCAATGTGAAAAACTTCATACGTAAATGATAATTCTGTATGCTTAAAATTTCGAACACCTTTTATTCAAGTAATTCCAATTAAAAAAATTAAATGCATTTCTAGCAAAAACACAACACTGGCGTTATGCAATTCCAGATGGACAAAAATGTTTTCGTTTGAAATGTATTCAATGGTCTATTTAGGTTAGTCATTTATCTAAAAATAACAGCTCATTGGTTAGTTTAAGAGAAAAGAGTTCAATACATCATTTTTCCAAACCTTACACAAATTTATTTAGAAGTTTTATTAATAATTCGATACCCTTTCCGATGGAATCATGGCTTCAGCAAAAAAACAATACCCATGCATATTTACTCAGTGTTAATAGACATACCACTACAGCCTCCCATGATGCTATTTTCCCATTTATATCAGTTTCGAATTCTCTAGGAAAGAATTCAGCTAATGGAGAAGATGGAGAGATCATTAATTCCCAATAAGGTGCTGGAACTATATAAGCTGAATCTGATGGTAATATCATTAATTGTTGAACAAACGGTAAAACTGGTTGTGAATTTGTTTGAAAGTTTGTCCAAGACAACTTAATACCATTGAAATTCTGATAATTCTCAAATTTTTTTGTATATAAAATAAGATCATGCACAAATGGTGCATAGTGATAAGCATAGAAAAAATCCCAATCAGCCACATTTAGAAAGTAATAATTCAAAATCCATTGTAGCATTCGGATATAATCTTGAATTAAAGACATTAATGTGGAATTTTCACCAAGATCACCTGACATCTCATCGAGTTGTATACCAAGTTTCGACGAATAGTAATCACGTCGATGCATTTTATAAACTAATAAATCTTCATCTAGATCGGTATCACTTTCAACGTAGGTGACATTCTCGTCTTCTATTTCCTCTTCTGTTTCATCATCTATATTATCCTCATGATCATGATTATCGCCCATTGTGTTATGTGTATTGTTATGGGGAATTCCATTGGAAAGATCACTTTTATTATATAACTGCTTAACTTTATCATCATGTGTCCTTAATGAAACAACAACACCTTCTTCCATTAATTCAGCGGCTTCATCTAACATAACATTATCATATTGACAATCAGATCGAGGTGCGAACAAATCTATAAAATCAGTCAATTGATCGAAATCTACAAAATAAAAATACTAAGATAAATGTTGTAGAAGTAGTTCAGTGATATACTATAAGGCAAACTGAACTAGAGATAAGATTATTTAACTTTCTGTGTAACAAGGTTTATTCCTTCTAACGTATTTGTCAACTAGTGACATTGAAAATACCGTTAGTTGGGAAAGAAAAAACTTTAATTGGAGCCAATTCGGAAAGGTAAAGTTTCAACGAAGAATATTTTCGCTTTCGTATCCACAAAGTGAATTGCTTAATTCGTATTTCTTTTTAGTGTTCTACATAGAGCGTTCCTTGATAGATGAAAACAGATTTGAATAAATCGTTGTAAATTCACACACATTTACTATAATAGACAAGTGAGTAGATGTGCAGAGAAAACTTTAGGAACTGTCCTCAAGTGAACTAGCTGATATATTTTCAATGCACACTTATCGAATAATTGATTTATGGTAGTATTTTAATATTATCTTAGCGCTAATCTCTCAGTTAACCTGACAACTAGTGTCATATTTTTCCCGTTCACAAATGCCTATGAATTATTTATAAACCTATTGCTGATATTTTGTACTATAAAGATCCAAATTATGTGCCAATTTGTGTTCAGAGATCGGGTAGGAAACTGTGTCGGTAAACGGTCACTTATCGAACACAGCAGCTGAAACATCTCACAAAACTACTACTAGGAATAGAAAGTAAACATGAAATTTCCATCCATATTGACCTGAGATGGATAATAACTACGTCCATTTGAAGAATTCTGCATAGTGACCCCGAAGTTATTATTGCTAATAAGAAAATCTAATTCAGCAGGAAGTATGGATGGCTCAAGCAATAAACCATAAAGAATAGGTACAAAGCCGTCGATACTAAAGACTTGTGAAAACCATGCGAAGTGGAATAGATTTAAACCGATTGTTTTTTATTTACACATATTTACAAAATGACAGTCACACAGATTAGTAAGATTAATGTCAACGACAAATAAAAAATTATAAATGATATTATCATTTAAGATAATCTACTCCGCCAGGAGCCCTCCGGTGCAGTTGCAGTCCAAAACCCGGAAAAAGGAAGATGATTGAGCATGGGGTTAGCAACTCGACTCCGTAGTTAAAAAAACTTGCCGGAAAGCTGACGATCAAAAAATCATCTAAACCATTTGAACATTGAACTAGGAGTTGAAGGATCTTTAATTAGAAGACTCACGATGTCTCACGTTGAAAGCCGATATTCTTCGGAAACCATGAGCCTGATTCACCTACTGAGATTCAGAGTAACAATTAACATAGGAACATGGAATATCTGCACAGTGTAGGTGACAGCGAAGATCATTCAAATAGCTGTGGAAATGAGAAGACATAACGTGGCTCTGCTTGAAATACATACTTAATTACGCCTGTTAGCCCTCGTCGAGGAGCATTCTCCATTCAACTATGTCCTTGGCAATCCTTTACAGTTTCTATTTCTCCTTTTCATGTCTGCTTCCAATTCTTGGGGCAATGTGTTCTTTCGTCTTCTTTTCCGTGTACCTTGAGGATTTCAAATTAGCGCTTCCTTCGTGATGCAGCTTGATAATTTTCGTAATGTATGTCATATCCGTTTCCAGCGTCTTTTCCTAATTTCCGCATCAGCTGGAACCTAGTTTGTTCTCTCCCACAGTAAGTTGTTGCTAATGGAACTCGACCAACGGACATTCAGTATCTTACGTAGACAATTGTTGATAGATAATTGTACTATCTTGATGATGGTTGTGGTCGTTCTCCAAGTTTCAGCACCGTACAGTAGAACTGTCGCGATGTTCGTATAGAAGATTCTGATCTTGATGTTGTTTGACAGACGTTTTGAGTTTTATATGTTCTTCAACTGTAGGAATGCTGTCTTTGCTTTGCCAATCCTTACCTTCACATCTGCATCCGATTCTCCTTGTTCATCGATGATGCTGACCAGGTACGTAAAAGTTTCCTCCTCTTTCAAAGTTTCTACATCAAGTGTGATTGGTTTGGTGTTCCACGTGTTATATTTGAGGATCTTGCTTTTTACATTATGTACGTTGAGACCTACTGATGCAGAGGCTGCTGCTACACTGGTTGTCTTCACCTGCATTTGTTCGTGCAGCACTTTGCAGTGTAGTCCATCCTAAGAATTGTGTACGATCTTAACGATCTTCTCAGGTACATCATAGTGTCGAGGAGGTTTCCATGTTGTTCTCCTATCCACAGTGTCAAACGCTTTCTCATAGTCAGGGAAGTCGATTTATAGTAACGAGTTCCATTCAATTAATTATTCAATAATGATCCATAGTGTCGAGATTTAGTCTGCGCACAACCAATACTTACGGAATCCAGCCCGCTAATCTTGAAGCTAGGCGTTTACTGAATCTTTCATCCGGTTCAGCAACACTTTGTTGAAAACCTTTCTTGGTACCGATAGTAGTGTGACGCCTCTGTAGTTCTCACATTTTTCTTTGGTATTGTTATGAGGTATCCTTTCCAGTCCGTCGGCACTTGTTCTTCCTTCCAAATTTTCCTGAATAGGACGTGGAGCATCTTTGCAGTTACTTCTATATCAAGCTTCAATGCTTTAGCTGGTTTATTGTTAGGTCCTGTTGCTTTCCCACATTTGATTTGTCCGATGGCCATTCCAACTTCTTCCACCGTTAGTAGAGTGACATCTATAGGAAGGTTTGTAAGTGTCACTTCGACTCCGGTGGATTTAATGGGGCTGGCCTATTCAAGAGTTCATTAAACAAAGCGTTTTACTCATCTGTTCCTCTGTTCTTGAATCTCAGTGATTAACTGGTCTTCTTTGTTCTTGGATAGTCTCTTTGATTTACTATATTTCCTTATCAGTTTCTTTGTTGTGTCATGTAGTTGTTTTATATTTCCTTTTCTTACAGCTTTTCCCGCTATCGCTGCTACGTCTTTCACATATTTCTGCTCATCAGCTCTAATGCTCTTCTTCACTTGCTTGTTTGCTTCTGTGTATTTAGCTTATACCTTGACTTTTTCTGTTCTTGTTCGGCTGTTGTCAATAGCCATCTTCTTGTTCTTGCTTTCTTCTGCTTGGAATAGATGGAAGCCAACGGACACAAGATGAACAGAAAATACTAGTTTCGGGACAGGTGTTTTTGTGATCTAGTTATGAATAATAAAATGTCACGCATACACAAAAAGTCGAACTGATACTATCCAAAGAAGCACGAAAAGCACTTATAGGATGGGAATCTCATGGCTCCAGGGTCATCAAAGACGGAAGGGATAACAATGCTAGGTAGTACGTGCCCACCAATGAGAGCAGTGGAGATTATAAAGATCAGTTTCACGAGGCTGTAACCTATCTTAGAGACCTACTCAGAAAAAAGACGACCATCCTGATGATGGGAGATATAAACGTCAAGGTCAGGATGGACAACGCTGGGTAGGAACTTATTATGAGAAATTATGAATTAGGGGAAAGGGTCAAGAAAGGTGAGTAACCGGTAGATCCATATACTTGCAACAGTCTTTTCTTCCAAAAACATGTATACAATGCTACATGAGATTCACCGCACCACACTACAGATAATCAAATTTATTACATCACAAAAGCTCAAGTCCATAGAAGACCTGAAATCAAAGAGATGAGCTGATATAATTTCAGGTCACCACCTGATGGTGGTCAAGCTAAAACTGAAGCTAAAGAAACACTGGATAACTGGACACACAGCATTACAAAGGTTGAATACAGACTTTCTTCGACATAATAACTTCGGCAAATTCAAGATAGCTCTCGATAACAAATTCCCAGCTTTATAAGATCTACTCATGGAACAATAAATCATTATAGGGAACGACTGAAAAGGGATCAAAGAAGCAATAACTTCAACACGTTAGGTGCTGAGCCTTGAGAAGCACCATAATAAGGGACGGAATTCTAGCAATACATTGGGAAAGATTCAAGGGAAACGAAACCAGAAGACTCTTGTCAACAACAGCCAAGTAAAAGCAGAGAAGGCCTAGGAACAGCCTGAACATACAGAAACAAAGGAAAACTAGAAAAAAAGACTATTGTGGTTGGTAAGTTGGAATATGTGAAAGACCTAGCAACTACAGCGGGAAAGGCTGCAGAAACAGGAAATATAGGAGAACTACACGATACAACCAGGAAGCTTGAAAGAAAGTAAATAGGCTTAACCATAAACACCGAACCACTGGCTACGATTCTCACTTCAATGTTTATTCTGCAGTATGGAAATAGATTTTAGAAAAATCCAGTGGTATTAATGCGAATAAACACACTATATAACAGATTACCCATGATTTTCAAAAGTAAATGAAGTGATAACTTCTAATTAGTTATGATTATCAACGCTGAAAGTAAAGCTAATTATTTCGAATCGCTCTAACTTTTGTTTAGGCAATCTTTCATCAACATTGATTCAATGTAAGTATATCAAGTCTACGCCAATAACAACGTCGTTACACATTTAATCAACATGTCACTATGGCGAACGTGATTATATGACACTTAGTTTGGCTAATTTCTTGAGAAAGAACATAACTGTCGAAATTAACCGGGTTTCACGATTATCTAAATGCAAGCTATGAGAAACAATTATAAGAACCCCTCGGTTTCAGTAAAACCAATAGTGATAAAGTAATAACGATGTTTTCCATTCAGTGTGCCGTTAAAAAAAGCAACAAAATCACAACACGTACCATCTTTCCTATCTAATAAACTACTTTTATTCATTTCGGGGAAACGTTTTCCTTTTGAACTGAGAGGTTTGTGAGATGGCATCTGATTATCCTCAGATGATAAACCGAGTTTTTCTAGTTCATTTGCCATACGAGCACCTTGTTTTCCTCGCATCCAATGGAAAGCTGCTTCACGTTCTTCGAACCAATCACGCTCAAACTGAAAAGTGATAAAAACTAATATACTATAGGAGGAATACATTTTTCTGTAAACAAAGTAGCTTTATTGTTCTATAACATACAGACCAGAATGACCAAACACTTCAGAAAAAAACCAAACCCACGCTACATGCTTCGCACATACCATGTTAGCGTAAACGAGAGCATAAATTTTTATTCATATGGAGATATAAACCACCGGAAACTACTCGGGATTTAAAGGTATTAGGTAGTTCAGGGAATGGTGCAGCACGAAACACTCTATACACAGAAAATTAAAGCGAAGTATGAAGGTGTAGATTACAGGTGGAGTAGCTGTGTTCATCGAATTGTGGAGTTCAGTATAGATGGTTTTAGTGAAACTAATTCCATTCGCTTTCTGAAGTGAAAACATGCCACAGTTTTTACAATTTGATTGCTTACCGTTCTCCCTGTGATAGTGTTTGAATTTGGCAAGGATATATATATATATATATATATATATATATATATATATATATATATATATATATATATATATATAATACATTTTAAAATAATGTAAATTAAAAGGAAAATTACTAACCTGAGAAAGTTCTTCCAGATACTTATGAAATCGTGGAAGATTTAAATATCCAAACTCCACAAGATAACCTATTGTTAAAAAAATGTCCGAAAATAATACCAATGATAAGAATTTACACAAAAAAATAATATCAAATGGTAGGAAACAAGCTAAATAAATGTTTATTTCGTTACAACTGCAAATATTCTACTACTGAAAATCATTTCTCTGGTTTAGTCACTAATGAAAACAAACGTTTATCCGAGTAGCTAACTTACTAGTCACATATAGAGTAGCGCTATTATGCTACCAATATGTACTTTCAATTTTATTAATCTTTTAAGCCAACTTAAGCTACTTATGCCTACTAGGCCCTACTCACTGTACACATATGTAGCTATTAATTAATATATTTTTTTGAAAATTCCACACAGTACTCTTAATATACTATCGAATTAAAAATATTTAACTACATCACTAGAACGGTGGTATGGCAACTCGAACTGATGTACGTACGTAGGAAGTTCCACGTTGTTACTGACTGACTAGAACGGTATTAATGAAATTACTAAAAAGTACGAAACCTTTTAGTTATTTCTTAATTCAAAAACAAAACAATAATATACAAAATCACATTATTAAGGCAATAAATTGTATTATAAATTTTAGATAATATGTATTTGTTAACCACTGGAGATTATTACAGAAAGGTATATGCTTCCTAAAAGAAAAATAGGTATTTATACTAGATTTTAACTTAAGACCAAGGAGAAAATTTTCTGACAAGTATTATCATTAAGAGGACAAACTTTTAACGGTAGTATGTTTGGTGTAAGGCACACTCAAATATCCCGATCAGTCCATTTTTAATCAACGGAGGCTAGTAAATAAACAGTGAAATTTAAGTTTCTTCAGCAACTTTAAGATAAATCTTTTTTATTTAATGTCTTAAAGGGTGTGTTCCGTTTACTAAAAAATCTTTTGAACTCTGTACATTTTGTAAAAGGGCTTCTCAAGAAATTGGTTTTGTTTTTAATCAACTGATTAAAGGATTGATAAAGGGTAAAGATAATGTGAATAGATTAAATAAAACTTACCGTCCAATTTCGGTAATACAACTTGATATGTATCCCAGACAGTTAACAAAGACTCCGCATGTATATGCAAATTAGGTATGTGAGGTATGAAATCATTTCCCAATAGAAAAGCCATAAAAACCCAATCATCAATCAGGCGTTCCAAATCATAAGGAAACGGTAATGTCTTCTGCATTAGAAATACATTATTTAAACGAAAAGAATGTTGTTAGTCATGAAATTTCCGAAATATTTGACTTAAATTGATATTTTCAGTAATTGAGATAGTAAAACATTCTTAACAGAACAATAAAACTAGTTTAAATAAACGTTAAGAAATATTTTAATAAATATTTTACCAATAAGTGTTTTCGATATCATAAGCTTAACTAATTCGTTATCGATAATTGTGAACGGTCTAAGAAGATAATGTTTGAGCATGCTTTATGAAAAGTATGAAATGTTTATAGATAAATGTTTGACTACATTAGCTAGATGTACTTTTATGTAAATTTTTACAGGGGAGTTTTGAAGTGATTAAGTGCAATTCTACTATTTGAAGTGGGCAATAGTGTTGTACAGAACAACAATAAAATCATTGTAATTAAACTGTACTGCCCAGCGAAAATATACCGCCACCGCCACCACCACCACTAAAAGCTGTTCATTTGATTTACGATTCTTCATCATACATAACCTACATGCATACAACAACGCGTATTGCATGTTATTTTATTTTGTAAAAAATTCGTTGAGAATCAGCTCAATACACAAATTCTTCCTAATTTAATCAATCAGTAAATCTCAGTCAACTTATATCTCTAAAACTTAAAAAGGAAAACACTAATTACCAACCTTTAATTCTGTAAATTCCAAATCAATATACTCCCGAAGAACCGACAAATAAGTAATACAGAAAGGTTTATTATCAGCCGAACAATTTCTATTAAAGTTAGAAAACAAAAATAAACTCAAAGTAAAAACTGGGGTGAAGAAGGCGAAAAACATTCTTCAACTGGTCTTTCATTATGGCTGTACACTAGTATTATATATATTGAGTAATAATAATAAAATGTATCAGTCAGGTTATGTGGCTCGTATATTTCATTATTATTGTTGAACAAATAAGTGTAAAGCCAAGACGAAAAACTAATCGAAAGAAAATATTTCTTCGCTCTATTTTTCTTTTTACTCAATATCTGAATGGGAACTTTATAATGAGAACTAAGAAACTGGTTTTATCAAAAGTCAGTCCTAGACTTGAAGAATTTGAAATAAATATGAATCCGATTGAGATACCTCGCATTATCAAAGTTAACTTTAACGGTCCTAATAACTGTTTTGTGTTTATTTTGGTCCTAACAAACCGCTTCGATAACTACAGAAGATTGTATATCATTGAAATAACCAACAGTATGACATACGATATGACGAATACTCAGACATCAAGATGATATGTAGCGGGTAATCCACGAAGTAGCTAAAAAAGTTGAACGAAACGTTCCAAATGCTACTTGATGATGGTTTTTTAAGAACTAGTTTAGCAAAAAGAGCTTTGAACATAGTGTTAGTAAATAAACTTTCTCACTCAAAAGAGGTCACTAACACTTCTTTAAATAGTAAGTTTTCTTAAGGGTAGTGATACAGTTTGTATGCCTGAGTTTAGGAATTTTGGTTGACTACGTCAAACCGTCAGAGAGAAATTTGAATAAATACCCATAGAAACTTAAGAGTAAATTCATTTTAGTTAATGTAAACAACTTTTAACCATATCATCTTAGGTTCCCAACCAACGCTTTTAAGAGTTCAGATTAGCTCTTACAAATCACGGAATAGTATCTTGTCTAAAGTTTATTAAACATCAGATTTCCTTACGCTAGTACAACCTTATGTCATGTGTGTTCAGGTCAGATTAATAAAACGTTTAGAACGGTTAACAATCTCATTTTATTTACCTGGGATTATACACTCAAAATCAGCTATCACATGGAAACTGTCGCATATGGATGGAGTTTACAAGGTATTTATAATAAACGAATTCTCGTTCTATCACTAATGGCGACTATAAATCTCGTCTTTTATTTTATTTTATTTGAACACATAAATATTGGTACAAGGGGGCACCAAATATATATGCGCCACACATAAATCTCGTACTTTTAATCGATAAAGAATGATAAAGAGTACTGTGCCGTATGCTTGAGTGCTGTTAGAGGTATGAGGGCGGTTATCACTTCCCGGTTGCCCACACCGTGGAAGGGTTCTGCTGGAGGTGCCTGAAAAGGAAATTGGATTAGAGGTGGTCATAGTGACCTGAGAGCGTGACGGCAGTGCCCAAGGGACAGCTGCTTGAGGTCGGTCACATACGACCTTTTTATGAGTAATTTTTGTGTTAGCTCCATACTTGTTGAGACCTTACCGCCGGAGACGGATATCCGTGGGATAAGGCGAGGTGTGCATTTTTAGGGTCGACCTTTACTAACCCCTCCCCTCTTTTTGGGAAGGCAGCATCGCTGTTATGCTGGTTGTCTGAAGGAAACACCTTACTGCTGTCACACCTCTGTACAGTCAGCAGTACGACTTCGCCTTCGGACCTAGGTTTTGTTGCTTTTAGTCTTACCGCTCTTCAACCGACCTGTCTGGCATGGTAGGACCTTGAGGAACGGTTGTTCCAGCCAGTATAGCTCAGTTGCTTCATCACGATAGGCAAGCCCGACCACCACGTCAAGGTAGCAACAACGGTCAGGATGCCGTATGCCTAATGTACACAATCAACAAAAATAATATTATAGGGCAGTTTGAAATGAATTGAGAAGAATTAACCTTAGATATAGTACTCATCTAAAAATTTATTCTGATCTCTAAAACCATACTTCTTTGTGGTCAAACGTCTACGCTTGGTAAGTAATAGAGGAAAGATGAAATCTATTAAGTAGCACTCATTAGCTGTACATGACTGATGATAGACGAATTATCCATTATATACTTATTCAAGAGTTTTCTGACTTTTAAAATGTTACTATGACATATTTTTGGCTGTATTTATAATTTATATACACTAATCGTGTTTTATTATGAGTAGTATATGTTTAGTTAGCTGCAACTATAAATTTGAAATGAAAGATTTTGTTCAACTGACTTTGAATCGAACACTATTTTCGTAACTCAAACTTAAAATGATGCAAAAATCTACATGTGATTACTGAATTACAACTATTGGGATATCAAGATAAGCTCTTGACAGACAGAAGACCTGAATTTATATGAAACTAACTAATAATAAGATTTTCGCGAGTTAAGTGAAGAACGGGATAATTACAGTAGTACGATTGAAACTTACTGGGCTTTAACAACGTTCTCACGCAAGATACAAATGTTGATTTCATGAGTCGTCAAACCCAAAAATATCTAAGCGGAAAAAGAAAAGAACGCTAATGAATGAGATGTAAATCAGACAAAATCAAAAACGTTCAAGGAGAGATGGCAGCAACTGTTGGTAACACAAGACAGCATTCCAGACTAATAAAAGAAACTGAAATTAATAAGTCAAGTAAAAGTGAGACTATCTCAGAAAAAGACGACGTTCTTATCTGCTCACAACTCAGACGTTTAGAACGATGTACAAACACTTTAAGGAGTAGTTCAGCTGACCTTCTGTTACTCTACAACTATCCATCTTCCGAGACAGTCTGGATGGAACATTGAAGTAGGTCTCCCTACTCCAGCTGAAGTCCAGAAGCCTAAAGCTAATCTGAAACGAGGAAGGGCAGCTGGTCCAGATGGATTGGCCCCAGAGGTCTTTAAGGATGGTGGTCTAGTTTTAGCGATTAGGTTGACTAATATTTTAGCTAAAATCTGGGAGTTAGACATCATCCCATCTGACTGGTCGCAGTCGCTTATTGTCCCGATTTATAAGACAGGGTCAAAATCGTCCTGTGACAACCATGGAGGGATTAGTTTAACTAATATAATATCTAAAATACTAGCTTCGATAATTTTCGGACGCCTAACTAAGACTCGTAAGCTGCAAACACGTGAAAATCAGGCTGGCTTCAGACCTGGTCGTGGCTGCATCGACCACATATTCACCATTCGTCAGGTTCTAGAACACAGGCATACTTATCGGCGTCCGACAATGATGGTCTTCCTTGACTTAAAAGCAGCGTTTGACTCTGTGAACCGAGAGGTTCTGTGGCAGTGTCTGTCATTGAAAGGCGTACCTCAGAAGTACGTAAACCTTGTGAAGGCTCTTTACTCGAACACTACTAGTCGAGTCAGAGCTTATGGCGAACTGTCATCTGCTTTTGCAACCTCAAGTGGTGTCCGTCAAGGCTGTCCACTTTCTCAATTTTTGTTTAGTTTCATCATAGATCTACTGATGGAAATAACGCTCTCATCGACTGAATTCTCCGGCATTGATCTCCTACCTGGCGATCCACTTGTCGACTTAGAATACGCAGATGACATAGTCCTGTTTGGTGAAAATGCTGATGAAATGCAGTCTTTTGGTAGCACTGAGCAACAATGCCAGAATGTTTGAGATGCGCTTCTCTCCCTCTAAATGCAAGTTGTTGCTTCAGGACCGGTCTGCGTCAACACCTGAACTACAGATAGGGAGTGAAGTAGTCGAACGCATTGACAACTTCACTCATCTTGGAAGTTTGATCAACCCGAATGGGTTGGTGTCTGACGAAATCTCAGTACGGATTCAGAAAGCTCGTTGGGCTTTCGCCAACTTACGTCATCTATGTAGAAGGCGAGATATTCGTCTATCAATTAAGGGACGAGTATATTGTGCGGCAGTTCGTTCCGTTCTACTATACGGCTGCGAGACATGGCCTTTGAGAGTAGAAGATACTCGTAAGTTACTAGTATTTGACCACAGATGCATTAGAAATATTGCTGGAACCGCCGGGTAAGTAATAGTGAGGTTAGACGCAGGGTATTAGGGAATGACGGTAAATCAGTTGATGAGGTTATGAACCTTCATCGACTGAGATGGTTGGGCCACGTGCTGCGTATGCCTGAACACCGATTACCACGACGCGCAATGCTCACTGGTGTTAGGGATAATTGGAAGAAAGTTAGGGGCGGCCAAACCAAAACGTGGCATCAGTGCTTGAAGTCACTAACTTCTGGTCTGAGCCATGTCGGTAGATACAGACTACTTGGTTGGGATCCGCGCGACTATCTTAACCAATGGTTGGAGACTCTTGGCGACATGGCACAGAATGGATCACAATGGCGTAGATCTATACACACTTTGTCTTCCTTTAAACCATGAGATCAAAATTGCTTTTTATCTTTCTTTATACCAACTAATTCTTTTTTCCTGTATTATATCCTTATATGCAATCTTTCTTTTATATATTACTACCATTGAAGTAGCTACTATGAATTCGGTGCTCATGTTGTTGTGCTAATGTGTAGCAACTTGGACCGATGCATATAGGTGCCTGGTTCAGCGTTGTAGCTGACTGACTGATTGATTGACAAGAAGAATAACTGTATAGCATGTAGTTTTAATATTAAGTTAAACAATGGTCTGGAATATACTCTCATCTGTTGCTTATATGAGACTTCTAGTGTTTGAGAATCTACCTAAAACTCCAAATAGTGAGCTATAAGTGATATCAATAATCTCCTAATTGGAAAGATGATCACACACTTGGGGAGCACCCCTCAAAATACTTAAGGAATTCCTTCCTATGCTCAAATGGTTAGATTTAGGTTTGAAAGCACTGTTTATTAAGCCGTGATTCAACAAATGTGTTTACTAGCGATACTCGAATACATTTTCTCGTATACTGCCCATAAACAGTAAATCATAGTGAATCTGATTGAGGGTGTCCCAACAGTAGTTGCTACCGTGACGTAGTAGTGAGGCTTACCTATAGTGATGACTCAACCGAGCTATACTGGCTGGAACACATGTCCCTATAGATCCTACCATGCCAGGCGGGTTGGTTGGAGAGTGGTAACACTGAAGGTAGCAAGTCCGAAAGCGAAATCGCACTGCTGACTGTAAAGGTTTGTGACAGCAGTAAGGTGTTTCCTTTGAACAACGAGAGAAAAGCGTTAGATAAGATCGACCCCAACATGTCACTCATCACCTAACCCCTCGGATTTCCGTCTTCGATAGAAAGAACTTGTGAAGTGAGGAGCTAATACATCAAAAACCTACCATAAAAAGACCATGTGCTATTGACCTCAAGCAATTGTTTCTTATGCTCTGCGGTTACGCTCCCAGGTCGCTAAGATATCCTTCTAAGGTAAGAGCAACCTGGAAGTGGCAACTGCCCTCATACCTCTAACAGAGCCCGGGATCATCTTTTCCACGGTAAAATCCCCCTCATTTATTATTAATTCTCCTATCCCCACAAATAACTCTCCTCACATATATTCACCATCACGTATTCCAATAGACAGTTGAATGTGCGCTATTTAACTAAACGGAACAGTAAGAACTAGGGGAGATAGGGATACATGTCATTGCCTATTTGTTGTCGCTGCTTACGCTCACACCGATTGCAGCTGGGATAAAGTGAAAGATGAAACTTTATATGAAACTTTCCAATTTCCTTCGAAAAAGTTAAATTCTCTGATGTAGTGTCTAGTGATTTTAGTAGCCAAGTAAGTAGACTAAGTCGAACGGATTTTATAGTGTTGAGGTTCAGCGAATAGATAATGGAGACCGTCTGTTTCAATCACGCTTAGATAACTTTCTATTTCTAGCAAGCACCAACCTTAAGCATAGGGTAAAACATCGTCTACGTGGCAACCTCCATAATCAACCGAACAATGGACTCAAATAGACCACATTGCCATCAACCATTGTTGGAGGGGCTCGATATAAGACTCGTGCATTTTGGAGTATATATTTAGACTCAGACTATGCTCTTGTCCGAGCACGCATGTATCTGAGTCTTACTCGACGGAAAAAACCAATAGCAAGAAAACTGCTTAGAGTCAAACTTAGTGATGGAAAAGTTGAGGATATATTTTATGAACAACTAGAGGAGGAGTTAATCAACCGTGAAAATGATATTCTCCCCGAGGTAGCTTGGCATGATATTCAAAGAGATGTGGAAACAGAAGTGATATCTGCCAGTAAAGGTTAGGAAGAGTCAGTGGATTTCAGTGGCGTCTACTGAACTGATAGATGCTCGGAAATTTAGACAATCTGGTTTTGAACATGATGAGGCACGGAGGCAGCCGAAACTCAGGCTGATAAAAAGCCTACTCAGTAATCGTGAGTAGTGGTAGGTAGCAAAAGCAGAAGAGATGGAAAAGGCAGTGGCGATAGGTAACCGTAGACAGCTGTCCAGACTTACCAAAGAACCAGATATTGAAAACTCGGCTGTTAATGAGACTATTACCAACTTTAAATCCAGGAGATTGGACCTACAGGTAGAACAACTTAGAGAAGAGTTCAAACGGTCTTCAAGCACACTTCAGTTACCCACTATCTCCAAGCAACCTGAATGACAAACTGATGTAAGTCCTCCAACTATTAGTGAAGTTGAAAAGGCTATAAGCAATCTGAAGCGAGGGAGAGCAGCAGTGCCTGACGGATTAACCCCTGAGATCTTAAAGAGTGGTGGTCCAGTTTTAGCAGTTACATTAATCGAGATCTTAGCTAAAATCTGGGAACTAGACGTAATCCCACCTGACTAGTCTCTATCACTGATAGGACAACAGTCCTCTTGTGATAATCACAAAGAAATCGGTTTCACTGGTATAGTGTATAGAATATTAACCTCAATAATAATTTCGCATCTAACTAGAGCCCGTGAAGAGCAAACCCGAGAAAACCAGGCTGGTTTTAAACCTGGACATAAATTTATTGACCAAATATTCCCCCTTCGGCAAATTCTGCAACACAGACATACTTTTCGACGTCTGACTACAGTTTTATTTCTTGACCATAAGGTGGCGTTCCATTCCGTTAATCGTGAGGTCCTGTAGCGATGTCTGTTGTTGAATAGCTTACCAAACAAGTACATTAACCTTGTACAGGCTTTCTATTTGAACACTACTGATCTAGTCAGAGCTCATGGTAAATAAACTGTCATCGCAATTGGTTACTTTAAGTGGTGTTCATCAGGGTTGTCTGTCTTCCCTATTTTTAACTTTGTCACATAGATGATTTTAGATATAAATTTCATCTTCTGACTTTTTAGGGATTGATCTTCTACCAGGATATTCAGTTGCTGACTTAGAATACGCAGATGATATAGCTCTGTTTGATGAAGGCGCTGACAAAATGCAGTCTTTTGACCACCTTAAGCAGCAATGCAACAACAGTTCGCCCCGTTCTACTTTATGGGTATGAAAGCCATTAAGAATAGAGGACCTTTGTATGTTACTAGTATTCGACCATGGGTGTCTTGAAAGCATTGCTCATGTATTTTGGGACTAATGAGTAAGCAATGGCTGGAATTAGGAACAGGGTGCTAGGTAATTGTGACAAGTCGATTGATAAGGTAGTAAATCTTCAGTTGAAGTGCTTTGGACTTGCGATAACTTATGCACAACCACCACCTACCTCGATGGGCGACGTTTTCTGGTGTAGGAATAGGCTGGAATAAAGCTACAGACATTTCTCCAGAGGCTCAAACTAAAACAATATTAACGATCCAGGGATGACTAAAAAAATCACATCAACATTAGAAAATAAACAAAAATATTTGGAATAAAAACAACTTAGTACCATACGGCTTACCAAGTCAGCGTCCATTCCGTATATACAATGACGCTCATTAGAACGATAATTTGGTAGACCACGACGATATGCCATATACTCCCGAATTTTGTGTTCGCCTTCTCCAGGACACTTGTTAATTATAAAATAAAAATAAAATCTCGTTATAAATATTTTCGCTATTAGTTCATAATATTTCTTTGTATAATCAAGTGAGTAATGTTACTCAAAACAAAAATGCCAAACGAATACATGCCAATTAAGTCAGACTATTTACCACGGAAGTTAATGTTACCACATCACAATCTTTTCAAACGGTAACTGAAAGTCGGTTATAAAGCAAACAACTAGTAGGTCGGTTCCTTAACAGTTCCTTAACTAGTGTTTGACCAACAGATAACACGTTTGAATTTAAGTCAGCCTACTTCTAAGATAAGGAATATTCATAACTCAGTCAGTCAGTCAGCTGCAACGTAGGACCAGGCCCGTATATGGATCGGTCCAAGTAGCCATACCGCATTAGCACAACAAGATGAACACCGGATTCATAGAAGTAGTAATTTCAGTGGTGGTAATATATAGAAGAAAGAGTGTGTATAAGGAGATAGTACAGGAAGAAAGAATTAGTTCCTAGAAAGAAAGATTTGAAGTGATTTTAATCTGTTAGTTTAAAGGAAGACAGATAGTGTATACACCGACGCTATTGTGATCGATTCTGAGCCATGTCACCAAGAGTCTCCAACCATTGGTTACGATAGTCACGCGGACCCCAACCAAGTAGTCTGCATCTACCAACATGGCTCAGACCAGAAGTTAGTGACTTCAAGCACTGATGCCACGTTTTGGTTTGGCCGCCCCTAACTTTCTTCCAATTATCCCTAACACCAGTGAGCATTGCGCGTCGTGGTAATCGGTGTTCAGGCATACGCAGCACGTGGCCCAACCATCTCAGTCGATGAAGGTTCATAACCTCATCAACTGATTTACCATCATTCCCTAATAATTCATAACACAGGATGAGAACGTCAGGAGCTCTAAGAACACAACACCTCCACCAACCTATTTGGTATGGGCAGCCAGGTAATATTACTAGCCCTCACAAAAACAGTATGATTCAAAACCACGTAAATTGAGTTCTACTTGGTAAGCAAGTTACATTATCATTCCGCTCAACTTAGTAGAAATCTTAGTTGAGCATGAATAAAGGAAAGCTTGGTAAAATATATTTACGATTGATCGATCACTGGGTAGCGACCAATGTCATTCCATGTCACTGCCCAGCGACCAATCAATAGTAAATGCATCACAGTCCTACAGCAAGCTTGTTGCGACCCTGATAGCTCAGCAGTAATGTCTCTGATTGTCAAGCTGGTTGAAAGAGGATCGAATCCCTCAGGAAGCATCAGTTCCCTCAAGATTACAGGCAGAGCTTGATGACGAGTGCTAAAAGGCAAGAAACCTTGATCCAGGGTTTCCTGTCACCTACCTCCAACCACCACCTTGTATCTTAAAGTATTGGTAAAATATCGTTCAGTAAAATTCTGAGCAGAAAGTCATGTTTTAATTAAAACGTATACACATACGCTGGATGAAAATATAAAAAAAACCCAACGCATTAATAACAAAATCTGGGTCCAAACATTTCAAAAGTTATTTTAGATATTTAACAATATATTAGCCCTCCTTAAAGACGCGATATTGTGTGCACGCTTAAAATAATCAATAAATACGACTTGTGAGTAAACCGCTACAGTGCTTTCGTATTTTTGAAGTTGTTTTTAATAATATGAAGTATGTTATTTACAAACATTTGAAATCAACTCGACCTTTCAGTATGGTTTTTTTTTGTAGCGGTGTGGAAGTCTATATTTTTGTATAATCATTAATAGTATATTTTGTTTGCCTTTCGCTTGGATTTTAACACGTAAAACCACACATATATAGCATACAGTATGAGGACTATCCAAGTATTAGAATAAGAATGGGTTGAAGTACACTTATCACAACTGGCAAGTAGATCTTTAGAGAGTCGTTCACGACATGAAGATAACTGAGATCTAATCATTCAATGTTTGACCAATAAAAAAGAGCTTCAATACCCACTTTAGTAATTAGTTTTTTAACAACCATAAACAATTATTTTAGATAATTAATCCAATCTTGCAAGCGAGTGCAGGTTTATGAACTCGGCTTTGAGGTACCATTTTCAGGTACAATAAATGGTAGTCTTCAAAGTAAAAAAAAGAAGCTATGTTCGAACTTGTAACCCGGTGATTAAATAATAATCTTAACCATTACGGAACGGATGAAGTTTAATTGGGTTATGAAAATGGACTTAACTAATAAGTAATATTAATTTTTATAGCACTATCATTGTTTGACAGTGAACTAAATGAAATGGCAATATTTTATTACTGAGAATAACTGTGCAACAAAAGCGATCTGATCAGAGAATTATTTATATTATTTATTTATTCTAACACATAGATATCGGTACAAGAAGGCACCAAATACATATGCGCCACACAAATCTCATTTGATATGTGTGAGGGCTGTGATACTGCCCGGGTGCCCAAACCGAAGCAAGTGGTTTTCTTAGGGGCCACACCCCGAGCCTTTGACCTGAAGATCTGATCCACAAGGCAGTGGAGCATCGTGAGGAGATGCAGTCCCATGGTAGCCGGTGACCAACGATTGGTTCATACGCCATTTGTTCCTTCAGGATACTGGAGCCCATGTGCACCATTGGTTTGGGGTCCGGTTATAGCGCCGGACATTCGCTTTTCGTCCTCTCATTTTCGTAAACAACACCCGTGGTGCGAGAAGGCAGTGAGTAGGACTTCCCTGGCAGGGGCTGTATACGCGTGGCCATGTGAGAGCATTTCGAGAGGAGGAGCGGACTCCCCCCACTCTCGACCATACCAGGGCATTTGGGGGCTGATCAGAGAATAGATGTAGTTTAAAGATGTATATATCAGCTCATTTTCGAACTTAAACTTAAGCTACATTCACAGATTAGCATCACTACACAGAGAAGTTATACGTAGGATTTTTTTAACATGAGAAGTGATGTTATCACTAAACTAAGCTTACAGACTTACATCATGTCCAGATAAAATGACATCAATACATTGCCAATCAGTATCATGATTTACATGATTTTCTACAAATATAACAAGATGACGATGTAACCGCTCCATGAATTCAGTACCTAAAAATAAGAAGTAAAAATGGTAATCCCAATTCTAATGTATACCAATGCTTACTTTGTGAAATTTAAGTTTAGAACGACAAAATCTAATTAAGCGGGATTCTTTGTCCAAGGATTTATATATACAACAATGTAGTACAATCTAACATCAAATGATAAAGCTCTTATTTTTAAATGTATGGTCCAACTATGTAGACAAGATATCCCTGTTCTTTTGTCAGTAACTGAGGACAATACATTAAAAGAGTTCCATGATTCGGGTAAAAATTATGACCTTCCACGTAAAAACTAAGACTGTGATAATTGCTGTACTTACACATCTTCCTTGACGTAATTTGAAAACGTTCGTTCAAAATCACTGGGTAGATGTTTTTAAGTAACTATGTCTCACAAAAACATTTCATCGCATTATCATAGCTGCTAAAAATAAAGAAATAGTTTGTTTCGATTATGTATATGATTTAGTCATTACGATACCAAAGGCTTTTACTTCTTCAATAGCCACAGTCACATCCAGACTTTTTCAGTGAGTATAATTTGTATTGATTTCAAAGTAAAACAACACCAATCAACTGTTTCCCCGGCAACTCCCACGCTGGGAACATTGGATAACAATAAAAAGTAGCCGAACATTTCCAATTTCACCAATGTCAGATCCAAAACACAAAAATTTACATTTTTCTTACAAACAACAGTGGTAAGTATTTAACGAGTAATAGGCCGTATTTTCATGGGTGGTTTCCACATAAATATCAAATGCGATCTATTGGAATTGAAAATAATTAACTCGATGTTTTCAGAACTGACAAACAGTTAATAGACATTCAAAGTCCTAAATTCACTGGACGTCCACTAACCTCCGGATAATATCAGATGTTAACAGACCATACAGTACATAACTTTAAATAATATTTGAGATTGCTAAACAAGTTTCATTTTGTCACAAGAATAAAGAAAATGTGAATGTGGTTTTGTAATCAGCACTTCGACACATTATTGTTGGGGACTAACAGTGAGAGTGACAAAATAAGAGACATCATCTTATTAGCACCTATCGCACTGCATAATCTTACATTTTGAATTGATCAGCTTTTTATCTAACAAACTAAACATCTACATCACAAATCAACACCTCTAATTTGTAATTCTGAAAACAAAACTGACAACCTACCAGACACGTCATTATCAAGTTTATGATGTCGATGTTTGCTTTCCAGTGTTAAAGTGTTCAGCATATGTGCACGGAAGCATTCATTTTACATTTCTCCACTAAGGATGATAGTAATTTACTGACTCACTTATCTCCAGTCTGTTTTATAGTAAGAGAATTGAAACTAGCAGTTTAAAGTCTTATGTGATACTCTTTATCTTTTAGATTATGAATATCATGTCTTTTATTTACACCATCCCCGTTTTCTTATTTATTGACTGTTGTCATCATGATTATGATATTAACTCTGTAAGGTACCGAACTGATGGTACGTTTTAAGTACACCACTGACATAAGAACAAACACGACCTTCATTTTATCTATAATGACAATATAATACGGTTGGTTTCCCATCAAAAACCAACATCTGGTTCTTTAGTTTCGCTTACAGAAACCGTTGATACACTTCAAAGAATACTAATTTAGATGGTTCCCTTACCTATAAGGATTAAACATGAATGTTAAACTAAAACAAAATATCGACAATTCATTAATGAAACTAACGTTCACTAATATTCCGACAAATGGATGACTTTCAATATCACGACTTAATTAACGTGGTCTGCAGAACATAACAGCAAAGAAGTTAATAGTAAATGGTAAAATGTTACTTCCACCATAAATTAAACATAAATCTTGAGCCAACGTTCTGATAAAGTCGTTATGAGACTTAAACATACTTTTGTTTATTTTTACATAACAACTTACTCAAAGTAATCCAATTACAGAATTACATACCTGGAGAAATCACACACGGGTCGAAAGAGTGGGTCTCAGGTGAATTATCTTTTAAATTCTCTTTGGCAATACGAGCCTCTAAAGCAGATCTGTAAAATTGAAATGCAATTATAAATATTTATCAAAGAAACATGTCAATACATTCAAATGAATACTTACTGGAAACGGCGAGCACGTTGCTGCGTCATTTTAGCTCTAGGGGCAACACCATCCACGGCCAAAAAGAAAGTCTTACGTGGCTTAATGAGGTTGAACAAGAACTGAAAAAATCGTTTACTAGATGCGCGCCAACTTTACTTGAATATATAGACAAATATTTCGGAATATAATCTCTTCCGAAAAGATTATTTTACCACCTTCTGGGTGTGAACAAGTGTGAAGTATGCCATTCATGTCCAAATAAAAGTGATCGATGACAGGGATCTTTAAGAATAGAGGATAATACACCCATTAAGGAAATATAGGTAATAAACGGTAGTGAATATAAAATGTATACCTATGAGGCCCCATGTGATGAAATAACGTAAACCATTAGCCCGTTATGGACGGACTAATTTGTTTCCCAATAATGCATATGACAAGTATTATTGATAATGAATGTTGTCACTGTCAGTAGAAAACTGTTGACCAACTGACGATCACTCCAGCAAAAGAAATTGAGTCCACACTTTACCAAGAAGAACCATAAGTAGCATTCCATCAAACAGATTATTGAATGATTCACATAAATCGACCTTGAAGATTGTATGTATTCCATTATCTGTCCTCAACTCCCAGGATGATAACAAAACTCTAATAGTATAGGATCGTGTTTTTGACTAACAAACAACCTTACTGAGAAGTTAAGGCATGTTACCCAAATACCCGAAAGGAAGTTGAAAATTTAATTTATTCCGTTTCGAGAAATGGATGTTCCCTCTGACGCTCCTAGAGTGGGTGAAATAACAAATGAGACTTAGCAATTTTTTTAACACGTATCTGAATTGCTTTGTTTAATTGGACTGTTGATTTAGTTGAAGTGCTGTCAATGTATAGCAAATAACTGTTTATTTACAAGCTTCTGGATGATCAATTAAAAAGTCTCTGTCTTCTTGTGTCCGATGGGTGGCGGTTTGGTATTTATAATAAATGCTGCAAGCAAGTTTGTCCACAACGAACTAAATTTTCACTAAACGACTCAATTTCCACCTAAAATCCCACCTCAAGGCTATCCACCTGATGAGTGCATCATATACCATCAGTGATTTGAACAATGTGTAATCTGGTACCTTCGTTACTAAATAAACAGAGGCTAACTATTTATAGTTTTTGAGCTTAACCATTCACAGGTAAAAGTTAAAATGCAGTATTTTTAGCTCTGATAAAATACATTTACCTCACATCAACATTTATCACTATAACTAACTCAGTTTTGTGTTTTCAGGAATCCGAAGTAGTCTGATAAACTCCTAAATTGAGGCTGGTATGGTTTGTCAGTGTAGTATGAAGTAAATGCTAGCTTATAAATTTTATTGTAACTAATTAGTTACAATAAAATTTATTGTATGTGGCTTTGTTGTAGTGTCAATATTTTAAGAAATATAATAGAAAATAAATTCCTAGACAGTACCAACCTCTCCTGGCCGCAAAATCTGGTTGATGCAAGGGTAGCGAGCACTAATCCATCTAAAGAACTTAGGAACACCCATCCCACCTCCAAGCCCGGACTTTTCGATTTTGACGCGTTAGGTCAATACCTCACCACACTATAAGGTAAAACAGATAGTGCTTATCTGCTTCTTATGAAAGCTATCAAGTCGACAATACAGACGAAACAATAGGAGGTTTGAAATACATTTAATATGGCTCTTAACATCATAACTTGGTGATGAATAACAAAATGGCATTAGGTATTTCAGCATTAAATTTATTAATATCCATTGTGGTGGTAAGTAAACCAACAAAACAAATAGTCCTGCAAGTCCTTGACGTTTTACCTGACCTCGATAATCTCGCTGGACATGTCTTGGCTGAAGGTGCCCTGTCAGGCATCAGCACCGGATCACAGGCAGGTATTTGTATATTTCATCCTCATAATGACGAAGTAGACACCCGATCTCTTAAACGTTAAGACTCTCATACTACCCCCCTTCAATTCATGGCATTCTGGATTGAAAATATCGAATCCTGGTTCTGCTAGTCAGAAGATGACATCCGCGAGCACGACGCGACAGATCCACTTGCATAATTTCTGGTGAAGGCATTGCCGCGCGATTTCAAGGGTTGTGTTACACCTGATTGGTTTTTCTGGTGATGCTTCCAAACCCTATGACACTCGAAAAGGTTATTTCTATACGTGAAAAAGTAACTCACCAACAATGGTTGAACTAGCTCATCCACGACATCGAATAAAAATGTCGCTACGTATGCGCGAGGTTAATGGTTAACAAACATTCGACGAGGCTCTCTTTAGAAAATTTTTCCTTCCTAAGCCTCCTCGACAGATGCAAACAGATCTTTTTTTACTTCAAAATAAGGACATGGACAAAGAGGCTTCATCCATTGATAAGATGCTGGATATCACCAGAACCCTCAGCCCCGGCGTTCGTTCTGTCAAAGAAAAGCCTCTTTTTGAGATGGTGAAGGTTTGTAGCTCAGGTGCATGATTTTGATGCAGTTTTGTTCTCTGAGCTGGATGGTTTGGTCTTGGAGCTTGTATCGTTCTTCTGAACGACATCATCATCACAAACTTCAGATAGAAGTCACGGAGAAAATATAGCACAAATCTTCTCCACCCTCTGAAAATCATATGGGCGTGATACGCTTCTCGTTGTTCGAAAATGGGAGGATTTCGCCAAAAGGCAAGCTTCCACTCGAGAACAACTATGTTTTCTCCATGACTTCTATCTGACGTTTGTGCTGATGATGTCGTTCAGAAAAACAATGAAAGCTCCACGACCAAACCATCCAGCTCAGAGAACAAAACTCCATCAAACGAAAAGCCTCACCTGACACTATGACTGGTATGTTTATCAAGGAGTAAATAAACTATTAGATCAAAACTGCATACTCTCTCCAAAATTTCTGGTGTTTCAATTAATTTGTGGATTGTTCGGAAAGCATCAAAACACCTACATACATAATTTTAAAGGTAAGTAAAACTCCATAATTACCTATCCATATCCCCGTTCCATGTTTCGGAATCAAAACTTGGATTAATATTCTGGACATCGCGGTTGATAATTGATTCACGCTTCAAAAACGCCAGACTAATACTACCAGAAAGGTGGGCATGCAACTCCTAATCATTAATATATGTGTAATCAAATCTACATACAATTTTCGGTAAATTGTGGTAAAAACTGCTCATTCCGATTTACGTCCACCAAATGCTTCTTGGTCACTGTTGACTGAGAAACGTGAAACGATAAATGGAGATGAGTAAGAGTTCGTGACTAACAGAAAATTGAATGTCCATGTTACTACTACTAAAAGTGCGCTTCAATTATAAGCAATGTTGATACAACCCATGCTTATTTGTGATTAACTCCGAGGCATATCACATAATATCTTCAACTGTTGGTTTATATCACCAGGAATTCAATGGATGAAGTAACCTTTTTCGTTGATCGCAGTAGGGAATGACTGTCTTATAAGCCAGTGAGATGTTGAGTAACAAGAAAAGGATATGAAGACAGTCCATATATATATATATATATATATATATATATATATATATATATAACTTCCTCTAACAAATGTAAGGAATTACTTACTTACTTACTTACGCCTGTTACTCCCAATGGAGCATAGGCCGCTGACCAGCATTCTCCAACCCACTCTGTCCTGGGCCTTCTTTTCTAGTTCCATCCAATTCTTGTTCATTTTTCTCATATCTATCTCCATTTCCCGACGTAATGTGTTCTTTGGTCTTCCTCTCCTCCTTCGGCCTTGAGGATTCCATGTGAGGGCTTGTCTTGTGACGCAGTTCGGTGCTTTCCTCAATGTGTGTCCTATCCACTTCCAGCGCTTCTTCCTGATTTCTTCCTCCACTGGGATCTGATTTGTTCTCTCCCACAGTAGGTTGTTGCTTATGGTGTCCGAGCTGCGGATCTGAAGTATTTTGCGTAGACAACTGTTAATAAACACCTGTATCTTCTGGACGATGGGTTTCGTAGTTTTCCAGGTTTCCGCCCCATACAGTAGAACTGTCTTGACGTTTGTATTGAAAATTCTGACTTTGGTGTTGGTTGACAATTGTTTTGAGTTCCAGGTATTCTTCAGTTGTAAATATGCTTCTCTTGCTTTGTTGATCCGCGCCTTCAAATCCGCATCAGATCCATCGTGTTCATCGATGATGCTGCCCAAATATGTAAAGGTTTTTACATCTTCCGAATCTTCGTCAATTGTGATTGGATTGGTGTATGCTGTGTTGTATAGGAGAATCTTGCTTTTCCCTTTGTGTATGTTGAGACCCATTTCTGCTGAGGCTGCTGCTACACTAGTCGTCTTCTCCTGCATTTGTTGTTGCGTATGCGATAGAAGAGCCAGATCATCTGCGAAGTCTAGATCATCCAACTGCATCCTAGATGTCCACTATGTCCCGTGCTTACCTTCAGATGTTGACGTCTTCATGATCCAGTCGATCATCAGGAGAAAGAGAAAGGGTGAGAGTAAGCAACCTTGCCTGACACCGGTCTTTACTTCGAACGACTTTGTCAACTGTCCTCCAAGAACGATTTTTCAGTTTAATCCATTATAGGAATTCTGTATGATATTGACTATCTTCTGAGGCACGCCGTAGTGTCGAAGAAGCTTCCATAGGGTTGTTCTGTCCACGCTATCAAATGCTTTTTCGTAGTCGATGAAGTTGATATAGAGTGATGAATTCCATTCAATTGATTGTTCCACAATGATCCGTAGAGTTACGATTTGGTCTGCGCACGATCTATCCTTACAGAATCCTGCCTGTTGGTCGCGAAGTTGTGCGTCTATGGAGTCCTTCATCCTGTTTAACAATACCCTGTTGAAGACTTTTCCTGGTATTGAGAGAAGAGTGATGTGCCTGTAGTTATCACAGTTGCTGAGATCGCCTTTCTTTGATATTTTGATCAGAAGTCCTTCTTTCCAGTCTTTTGGCACCTGTTCCTCATCCCAGATCTTTCTGAAGTGAGTTTGGAGTATCCTTGCAGTTGCCGCTACGTCTGCTTTCAGTGCCTCTGCTGAAACGCTGTCTAGTCCTGCTGCTTTGCCACTCTTGATTTGTCTGATAGCCATGCTGATTTCTTCAATTGTTGGTGGGCCAACGTTGATTGGGAGGTCCGTGAGTGCTGCTTCGATGTTGGATGGGTTTAGTGGGGCTGGTCGATTCAACAGCTCTTTGAAGTGTTCCACCCATCTGTTTCGTTGTTCTTCAATGTTGGTGATTATCTTGCCTTCCTTGCTTTTCACTGGTCGTTCTGGTTTACGGTGATTTCCAGAGAGTTTCTTTGTTGTGTCATACAATTGTCTCATGTTTCCTTTACTGGTAGCCTTTTCCGCCGTCATTGCTAAATCTTCCACATATTTACGTTTGTCGGTTCTGATGCTCCTCTTCACTTGCTTGTTTACTTCTGTGTATTCAGCCTGTGCCTTGGCCTTTTCTGCTCTTGTTCGACTGGTATTGATTGCTGCTTTCTTGTTCCTCCTTTCTTGAATCTTATCTAGTGTATCGATCGTGATCCAATCCTTGTGGTGGAGCTTCTTTTGGCCCAGAACCTCATGACATGTTGAAGTGATTGCCTCTTTTATCTCTTTCCAGTTGCTCTCCATAGTAGTTTCTTCTCCATTGAGTAGATCATGAAAGGCCTGGAACTTATTGTTGAGGGTTATCTTGAATTTATTGAGTTTGTCATTATCCCGAAGAAGAGTCGTATTAAACTTTTGTGATATTGTCCTCCCCGTTGTCCAGTGCCTCTTGAGTTTCAATTTCATCTTGGCGACCAGCAAGTGATGATCTGATGCTATATCAGCCCCTCTCTTGGTTCTCACGTCCTCCATCGTCCTCCTGAACTCTTTAATGATGCAGATATGGTCGATTTGGTTCTGTGTGCTGTGATCCGGCACATAGATTTGCAAATCTCTCACCATTTTCGTTCCTTCCTCCCAGTCCGTGTCGTCCCATGATCTCTCCATATCCGGTGTTGTCAATTCCAACCTAGGCATTTAGGTCTCCCATCACAATAGTCAGGTCCTTTGTTGGGCACTTCTCGACGATTGACTGCAGCCTATCGTAGAATTGATCTTTAGCGTCTTCATTGTAGTCGTTGGTAGGCGCATAGCATTGGATGACGTTCATTGTAATCCCCGTTTTCTTTGTTTTGAAGGAGGCTTTGATGATCCTTGGTCCATGAGATTCCCATCCTATAAGTGCATTTTGTGCTTGTTTGGACAGCAACAATGCCACTCCTTATAGTGGGGCATTTTCTTCTTCATGTCCGGAGTATAACAACAGCTCCCCTGAAGCTAGTCGTTGTTGTCCAACTTGCGTCCAATGTGTTTCACTGATCTCAAGCACCTCCAAATTGTATCTCCTCATTTCTGCAGCAATTTGGAAAACTCTCCCAGTCTCCCACATTGTGCGAGCATTCCATGTACCTAAATAAATGGTTGCTCTGGTTGTCAGAAGAGGCATCGGCCTCGTGACTTCCGAAGAAACTCGGCTTTCATCATGAGGCGTCATAATTCTTCTAAA